TAGTTAATCTACTATATAAAAATGGATGTTTGTTGGTTGGTTGGTAAGTGATAAACTATTACATCGCTCAACCAATCATGATGAAATTTGACATGTATNAAAAAAAAATATTTTTTTCAAAAGAAGAAATACATGTATAGTGAGTTCGAATTATATCAAGGAAGTTACGTACAGCACCATCTGCTCGCGAATAGATCAAGCAATAATGTCGATAATTCTGTCAAATACAGATCCCAAGCAATCAAATGGAAAAGAAGAGTTACAAACGAACAAACAAACATACATACATACAGGTGAAGCTAATAAAAGCGTGTTAAAAAATAGTAATTAGACCTCGTATGAATACCACCCATGCCCCTGCCATACAATGAAACTGCCGACGTTCGGTAACTATTTAGTTTTTATGCCATTCGAATTGACTTCGCATATACTATAGCACTTCACGTCACTTATAAAATTACGACTTTTTGCGAATTAATGTCATTACATACTATCATCGATGACATGAGTAGATTCGACTCATTCGTAACATAAAGTCGTAATTTTATTAATGAATTATGTGCTTCGTCTTGTAATGTTATCTATATCGATGCTGAAGAGGCAATAAGGCAAGTGTCTTACGGCAAAACATCGGGTGTCTACCAGTGAGGATGATAGTGTTTCATGCCAGTAAAATTTTACCTCTTTCATATACTATGTTGTGGAGCAATCCTGTGAATGATATCTGATTCAATTCCATAACTAATCTTTGGGGTACAACTAAATGAAAAGTATTGTTTGAAGGTGGTTGACAATGTTTCGTGGTGTATTTCATCAGTTCGGACTTCCATTGTCTAATATAATGTAAATTGATTTGAAATCCCTGAAAAAAATGAAAAATGAATCGAAAATAACAATTACTAGGATGCTGTGTACGAAACTGCTACTTCCAAGTGAAGGACGAATTTTTTACGCAAGATGAGAGACTGCCAATGGGATCGCCACTTTCACCGATTATAGCTAATATATAGAGTGGTTTGAAACTCTGGCCATTGAAGAAGCCCACAAGAAGCTCCGAGTTTGGTTGAGATACGTAGAAGACCCCTTCATAATATGGAACCATGGGACTGCAGAACTAGATATTTTCCTGAAGCACATCAACAACGTAAGTCCTTCCATCACATTCACAATGGAGAAGGAAGACCACAACGAATTGCCTTTCTTAGACGTATTGGTGAAGAGGACTGACATTAAATGGGAAACATCTGTATATCGAAAACCCACTCACACAGGACAGTATTTGAACCAAAAATCCAACCACCATCAATCGACTAAGAGAGGAATCATCAAGACCCTACTAGACTGTGTTTTCGAGCTCTGTAATACAAAGGAAGGCCTCGAAAAAGAAATAGGCATCATCAAAAAGACCTTCAACGGAATGGTTACTCCAGAGTGATGGTAGAACAGGCTTTAGCTAGAAGACAGCAAGAGCTCCACAAGGAAGAGAAGCCGCCACAACCAGTACTTGCACTCCCCTACATCAGAGGATTATCGGAAATGATAAGAAGGATTTACGGAGGCAAATTTTGACTCGCGAAATATCAAAAATAAGTATCTGTTCAATTTCTAAAATATTTTCGGCCAAAATATCAACTTCTTATACCCATAATTTCGAGCCTACACAAAGAATTTCTATTTCAACCGAAGAATTATGATTTCAAAATGAAAATTTCGTCTCCATTCTATGAATTCTGATTTACTCGAATTTCAATCGTTAACCTGGAATTTTCATTGAACTCAGAATACCTGTTTGAACCTTAGGATTGGTACTTCAATTTTCAACTTCAGATGTAGAATTTTGTTTTTAATAACATAATTTCAACTTTATACTTGAAATTTATACTTAACACTCAAAGTGCCGACTCAAAATTCGAAATAACAACTTCACACTCCGAAATGTTGATCTAATAATCGGAATTTCGACTTTCAACTCAGAACTCCGAGTTCAACCACGGAATTCGGACTTCAAACTTGGGATATTGACTCCAATTCAAACAACGGAATTCTACCTATTACTTGGTGCTCTGACTTCGAAACTCTGAATTCATACTTGAAACTGAGAAATATGACTTCCAATTCTGAAATTTTGACTTCAACACAGAATTCCGACTTTCAATTCAAAATTCTGACAAAATTCCAGAATTTTGAACACAGCCAATCACGATATATAACCAATCAGACATGATTTGGAAAACAAAGTCAGAATTCTGAATTAAAGGTTGATATTCTTAAATCAAAGTATAACTTTTTCTCAATAGCAAATGAGCTTCAAATGGTTTCCTTAAAAATTAATCAAATCATCGTACTTGGTTCAAAATAACGCCACATAGGAAAATTATATTCTTACTTACTATCGTGGATTGGACTTCCTGTCGGGCGCGTCCCCAGGTGGCGGATAGGGGGACGGCCAGGGGACAGGACGCCATGTCCTGGAAGCCAATGTGGCCTTACGGACGGCGTCGCCGGCTCCTGGTCAGTGGTAGGGGAACTACCACTGAGGGGAACTAAAACTCCCCAAAAGCCTTTGGAAAACATGCCACCGTGGACCAGCCGCAGGGTGATATGCGGTAACGAACGATCTCCTTGGGGAACTGGGCGAAACCTCATTGTAATCAGCCTACCTCTGGTAATGCGGGGCTCTGCCAGAGGTGACCAACTCTTCTCTTGCTACTCGTGGGAAAACACATGAATGAAACAAACACAAAAAAAGAAACAACAAAAACAAAAAACCAATCCCGAGGCTAGACAGAAGTGCTCACCTCAATCTAAGGCGGTGGCTGGGGATGAACAGAAATGTCCACCCTAATCTACCGCTTGGAATGGGGCTGGACATAGCAGATTATCTCGTGATGTAATACAGAGGCCAAGGCGTAATAGCGCATTTGCGGCGCCGATGCCAAAGGGAGAAAGAGAGTGAAGAAGGCAGGAGTGGCAGCAACTATAAGCAAGGGCACTTTCTGCAGCGGTCACCAAGAGCTCCGCCTTGAATAAAGACGAGGAACCGGCTGCTCCAGCAGAAAAGCTCCTTCACTTGTGCACCTCCACGGAGGGAACCTCAAGGAGGTTAAAGAAGCCGTGCAACGACAGTAATGTCGCTGCACTTTCCAAAACCTTACCGGAGGCCACCGTGAGACACCTCAAGGTTGCCAAACACACCTCTATGCAGGATGTATGAACAGGAAGATGAGGCTGTCAGATATGTCCTATGCGAGTGCCCGAAGTTATCGTTAATAAGAGACTGTGTTCGTTCGGCGAGTCTTGGCCTACACCTGCCAATATAAAGGAGATGTTTCCTAGTGACCTGTTCACCTTTCTAGAAAGGAAAGGATGGACGATGGCCTAGGAAGACAACTCCTCGGGAGGATGTAAAATGGGTCACACGTGGCCTAAGTGCTATAGGTCTATATTCACCCTCCCTACTCTACAGATACAGATGTCTTAAGCGCAGAGAATTTTTGGGATATCGTTCTTGAGATATTTGTTCAATAGTTTGTTTGACAGCTCTCCCTCTCATTGATACTATTAGGTTGTTTCGAAAGTTTTGTCCATTTCTGTGAGTCTACTTTGAATTGTAATATCCCAGTGATTACTCGTTCAATTTATTCGAAACAAGCGCATTATTGCCAACGTAACGCAAGTGGAATGATTCCGTCAGCATTCGATGAAGTAGAGGAAGGTCGTTTCTGCCTGGTCCTGATTGGCGAAGGTTCTACCGGTGAGAAAGTTATCCAAGTGCTTGAAAAGATGGTAGTCGGTTAGCGAAAGGTCTGGGGAGTACGGTGGGTGACGCAGAACTTCAACGCTTAATTCGTTTAATTTTGGAATTGTGATTTATGAAACATGCGTTGTCGTGGGGCAGAGTCGGACCACTTTTGTTGTCCAGTGCCCAGTGTCCACAATTTCTTGGTATATTTCGTGGATTTCCTCATAATAGGACTTTGTTGTGATGGTTTGGCCCAGTTGCAGAAAGTTATATTGAATCACACCATGGTCTTTTTTTAGTGGATTTTCGTCTTCAGAGAGTGCCTGGGTGGCTCATCGGTGTTCAACCACTGACCTGAATGTCTTCTGTTGTCATGAAGGATTCACTTTTTATCACCCGTGACGATCCAATCCGAAAAAGGATCGTTTGGTTGTACGAATGCATAGAAGAACAGACTTCGAAACATGACGATATTTGTCGATCCTTCAAATCGTGAGGCACCCACTTTTCGAGCTTTTTGACTTTTTCAATACGTTTGAAACCACCAAAAACCGCATGGGAGCTGACGCCCAGTTCTTCTGCCATTCCACGCACCGTTTGTGCGTGGAATGTGCGTAGGGTTCTCAAATCGTCGTCTTCGATTACTGTAGGTCGAGCACTTCCTACCTTATCTTGGAGGCTGAATTTCGCAAACAGTGCGTTTATTGACATTATCATGGCCAAATGCCTGATCAATTTTTTGGCAGCGCTTTGGTTCAATTTGAATTCGTAGAATAATATTGGACGAAAATCACGTCATGTGATAATGAAAAGAGGCAAAATATTGAAATTTGCAGAAAAAAATAGCAGCACCAATATATAGAGTACAAAATTATCTATTAGTCAGTCTATACCACGACACGCTATGAATATTCATTGAAATATGGAGCTACAAAAACATGACATTAAAACGGGCTAATTTTTTGAAACGATTTAATGGAATTCAATCAAATAAATCAATAAAACATTCAAAATTGGTTGCTGTGAAACTAATACTCGGTAAATGTAGTTACTAAGTCCAGTGATGGCGTATCTCACAATTAGAGATTCTTCGAAGATGACAACGATTAAATCCACCGTATAAGTTCAACCGTACACCATTATTTGCAGGGTATTTTTACCTACTGTCACAAATGATAACTTCCAGACCTTTTTCATTGTTTCCTATATTTGCTATTAGGTACATATGTGCCCTTCTCGAAGATTTTTTTTGTTTCAGAACTGCAGGTGTGAAAGGGAGTATCAAAATCAACGGCAAACCGAGACAAATGAAACTTTTCAACAAATTGTCCTCTTATATAATGCAAGAAGATTTAGTTCAACCTAGATTGAGTGTGAGGGAGTCTATGGTGATAGCAGCGGAGCTAAAGTTGGGATCTACAATAGGACATCAAGAGAAACTTGCTGTGGTAAGCCAAATGATTAGAGTGTTCTTTCTATTAGTATTTTATATTTCATTCATGTTGAGTTGCAATTTTCCTGACATAATTTTTGGGATGTTGGCTATATTGTCCTTAGATAATTATTATTGATATTTCATACTTGTCAAGAAAAAGAAATCTTGTATATTCCTTTCATTGATATTTTTTCGTTGCTGTTGAATGTTATGATTGTTTGCAAAATAGAAAAATTGAAAGCTTCTAAAAGTGATGTCATTGAAGTAATACAGTTCTAATTCTTAACTTCCACTTTATTCATAATTCAAATTAAATTCAATTACACGTCAAACAAGTATTAGTTTTTGGGTTAGGAATGAAAACATATCGAATCATTCAGAAAAATGTTCCATCGCCAATCAGGTATTTATTTCTTGTTTAAAATAAAGACGTATCAACTGGAACGTCAAGAAGAGTACTTAGACCACACTACTGAAGATGATTGCCGCAGTTGCAGTTGAAACGTTTGGAGACTGTAACCAAAGAAAACCACGGCAAAACCCGAAAACTATCCAAAGCAAAATAACTATTTTCTCAAAGTATATTCCAGAACGATACCTCGACACTATTCACAAGACATTGTGACCTAAGTCTCGACCTAAGTAGTTGGTCTATACTGGTTCCGCTACGTGAATGGTCGGAGCCAAGCTGCAAAGCTCTTTGGGGTGATCCGATGTCCTCGTTGGTGACCTGGTCTCGATGGTCATCAAGCTCATACCGGAAGTAAATGACGTGGAACCGGTATAGACTACCTACTGACCTACGGTACTCTTGATTAAAAAATCCAATGAATTTCAGCATTCCATGCGGAGAGGTGCTGATTGCTCGTACACCAAGTGACTATGCTTGACAAAGTCAAGTTGAAGATGAATCAGAATTTAAGTCTTGCACCACTTTCATCAAATGCACAAATTAGGGTTAATCTCATTGATCGCATCAAGAGCTTATGACAAAAGACAAGTAAATCAGAGATAACACCAGAGTTTCTATGCATCTTGGTCCATTATTATCACCTTTTGAAGTTATCTGGATCACTTCGATGCTGAGCTATTCTTCCGGTCGATTATTACGAAGTTCAAGCATATCTTCAGCTCTTATCGGTTGGCACACTTTTTTTATTTTATCTCTGTGCTTTGCTGGCAATTGGGTCGAACTCATTGATTCAAAAAGTTCCAGCTTTTCTCTGATTCTCATATGTCCAATCTTTCAGGACCAATGATCAGCACAAGAAATAATAATTCATTCGGCTCTTTTGGTTCATTGTAGTGAGAAAGTTTGTACTTTTGCTTCCTTCGTCATAATCCTCTTCCACAGAAATACAATGCATATCTGCTTCGTTGTTCTCCCTTCCATTGAAGTTCTTATTTCTCAACTTTCATCTTTTCATAAAAACCGATTTTCTGCATAATCATTTCTGCATCATTAGATTCAGATCTCGATCTTTTAATCGTAGAAATTAATTCCATCTTATTGGCTGAGAACTGTTTAGAAGTTGAACTGTGAATGTAAAGCCTCTCCATTAACCATTGTCTCTTTTGTTTTACTTATTCGATGACACTCTCTTTGGTTTTGCCTTCAAACCAACATTTGCTGGAGTTCCGAACAGTGCCCTCTGGCCAGTAATTTCTCCCAATCTCATTATTTTGAGGGTTCAGTTCAACTTTTGGGAGGGCTCTTATCAAACTTGCAGCTGCCTATTTTTGTGGCTTATATCACAGATGGTGTCTCTGTTTGGGTCAACGATGGGTCGCATCATGAACAAGAACAATTACTGTAACAACTGAGGTATCATCCAAAGTTTTCTCTGCTAAAGAAAGCAACTCTGAAAGTCCGAGTTGAGTCCAACAGGTTCGATCTGGATTGATAGAAAATCAAACATGAATTCAGGAATGGCTGGGTATTGAGATACATTACCAGAAATTCTCACTCACCTATCGAGTGCACAAGAGAATTGTTTCATAAAGATCATGATATCATCAGAGCACTTTCCTAGATAAAATTGATATAAATTCTGTATTTTATCAAAACTGTTAGTTTCAGCAATTCGGAAAGTTTATTTTTTTTTTCAGGTGGACGAAGTTATTGAAATACTTGGTCTAGAAAAATGTTATGACACTAGAACAGAACATTTATCTGGAGGTCAAAGGAGAAGACTCGCAGTTGCCTTGGAGCTAGTCAATAATCCTCCGGTAATTTTTCTGGATGAACCTACCACGTAAGTAATTTTTTTCGGAAAACTATTCTCAAAGAACAACTTCATTGAATAAACTCTATTTCGGAAAACAAGACCAAATAATAAAAGATCCTTTCACTATAAAGTCTACGTCTATTCTAACAAAACGTTCGAAACGCCAAACTGATGGTTCTCGACCTAATGGTATCAGTTTCTTGCAATACTGGCAAGCCAGAGTCTGCTAAATGTATCTACATATACGAGGTGTTTCCAACTACGCTAGGAAACTTCAAAGGTTGATGTGTGATGGAATTTGACGTTCCATAACTTATTTAAGTATTCATTGATAAATTTTCACTGAAAAGTTTACAAAACCGCAGCATGTGCTTCGATATATAATGTGTTTCATACTGGAAATGAAAATGCTTAAGGAAGTTATTGCATAACGAAACACATGTTGCGGTTTTGTAAACTTTCCAGTTAAAATGTCACATAATAGTATTACTTGAATCTGTTGAGCCTTTTTGAGAAAAAAGTCCGGAATTGATTCGTTTCTGAGATACAAAGTGTTGAAGTTAAAAAGAACGGTCATAAATATCCTCAAACCGATTTGATTGAAATTTGATACAGTCATTTTTTTAATAGAATAGAATAGTTTATCAACTACACATTTTCATATTTGTAGGAAGTCAGGTGTATAGGCTTTCTTAAATAAATATATAAAACAAAGAAGTAAATTGTAAAAATGTAAAAATATTAACGGGTTGCCTACGTACATAAATAAACATATAAATATTCACCTATGATAATAGGGTACCACAGTACAATCTATACCGGTATGTTTTATCTCGAGTAGACATAGCTGACTTGAACTGTCCTAAAATGATCGTAGTATTCTGAGACTGAGTAAAAGCATTGGTTGAGTATCATTTCCTTGATGGATCTTTTGAATTTGGTGATAATGAAAAAATTGTAATCAACATAATTCATTTTTGCTCTGGTCAACCGATAACGGCATGTTCTTACCTTGTCCGCATTTCTCGTGAAGTGTTGGTGTATATAAGACTGCTTCTCTAGCAACTCAGCATTTTTTCTGATTTCCAGTAGCGTCTGATAAATATATAATGTTGGCAATGGCATGATACGTAATTTTTTGAATAATGGTCTACAGTGCTTCCGGAAACCTGCACTTGCCAGTATTCTTACAGTTTTTTTCTGTAGTTTGAAAATTGTTGTCAACTTCTTCCATTACTTGTGGAATGTTAGATGATGATTGATCGCTATATATTAAAGTTGTGTCGTCTGCATAGAGAATGGACTTATAGGAAAACATAAAATTAACATTAATAACAAAGAACAGGGGCCCAAGTATTGGATCTTGTGGAACACCGTGCTCAACAGGTTCAAAATTTGATGTAACACCATTACACGAAACTGCTTGATACCTATTTGAAAGGTATGATTCTATGAGTGACAGAGATACCCCTTAACTCCATAATAATTCAATTTTTTAAGAAATATACGTGTGATACAAAATCAAAAGCCTTAGACAAATCAAAAAGCGTTATGGCAGTGTGCACACCCTTCTCGACTTATTTAACAATAGATCCAACAATATCAAAGACAGCTAGAATAATAGAACGATATTTGCGAAACCCATATTGACCCTGAAAAAAGAAGTTGTAACTCTCGAAGTAATCATACAGACGCTTTTTCATTATTATTTCAACAACTTTGGAAAAAATAGAGATGATAGAAATGGACCTGTAATTGTCCAGGGAACATGGGTCCCCTTCTTGAAAACTGAAATTACTTTCGCATATTTGAAAACATCAGGAAAAACAGTTCTGTTGACCAGTCCTGTAAAAGGCGAAATTATGATATGTAGGGTTTCCCTAATGATACGAGCGTTCAAATTTGAACTTGTAAGGCAATTATTCAGCCTAATTAGATAGAGATTATTAGCAGTCAATAACATTGAGAAAAAAAATACGCCTCTATTTTTTTTTTGTACTTTAAATTTTTTTTAGCTATTTTTCTAACTTCGTTTCCAAAAAAAATTGAAGCCATTCTTTACATATTGTAGACATGTAAAAAAATAGATTTTTTGTTCAAACTAAACAAAGTTAACTACTTACAAATTCGACACAGCCATAACAACAACAAACATTGATGGTAGGTAGTCCTAGTCATGACACATATACTCGTATGTCACTGAAATTCAAAACAAATATTCCTGTTTAAATGGTATTTATCGATTTTTAATGGATGATACCTTTTCAACTCTGAAATGAAATCAATGTTATGATTTCGAAACTAACGACAAACAAATATGGTTGATTGTTTTGACTAGGCGACTTTCCAGTTTTTGGAAAATATTCAAACTTCGAGCCTTCACGTATAGTTGTTGAAGCCCCTTCCGATTGTTTCATTGACCGGATCTGTCAGAGTTTGTACTGATACTTGCCGTGGAGAAAGTTCCCACTGACCTCAAGTTCTGATGAAGATACTTTCCTTTTGAGACATCAAGTTTAAGATCATCTGAATGAAATAACTGGGTGGCCTTATGCCTCCGGTAGGAATCACAAGGAAGCTGAAGAAATCACTCTGAAACAAAATGAAGGTCAATCATTGACCCGTTTAGACTTTTCCTTGACCATATCAGTGTTCAATGCCTCTCACAATTTTGTCGGACTACGCAAGGCATCTGAACAAATGCGAAATCAGTTCATATGGAGTCGAGTCAAATGACTTGCAACAGTCACTCCGGATCATAGAGAGGTAACGCTAATATTGCACCGAGTCTTACGTTACACATTTCAAGAGCATTCTTACGTTGTTGAGTCGCTTGAAATAATTGAGAAAGTCTCGCGGTGTTTGGTGTGTAAAGTGATACCTCTCGCTCGCCTCGCAAATGACTTTTTTGCGAAAGTAGTGCTGCTGCTTGGTGGTTAGCGATACTCCTGACCAGGGCCGGATTTAGGGGAGGGCAGGGTTTACGGTCCGGGGCCCTCCACAGGAGAGGGACCCCATAATTAAAATATCCAGATTTTGACGGGTCACTAACTTTTACGTTACAATTTTTTTTGCATTTCTACTAAGATTACTTGCACAAACACGATAATATTCTTATCAATATATGAGAAAGCTTGGATTGCAAGTTTCCATTTACAATCAATTTTTTATTCGATCGAGCATTTCAGTGGCAATCGTTTTTTGATGTGTAATTTGTGATTTGTGCCCATGAGTTAAAGAGAAATGAAATATTATCAGTTCGGACTTCCATTGTCTAATATTATTTAAAAGGATTTGAAATCTCAAAAAGAACCAATACAAATGAAAAATTTAAAATAATAGCTGAAAATAACCATTATATTAAGCAAAACTCCTAAAATAAAATTACCTTGAAATAAAATACAAGAAGAAATAGAACAATTAAACAAAAAATTAAAATATTAAGACATCAGAACCTGCTTCAGATCCGGAAACACTATCCGTGGCAGCCTCACGAAAACCAGGTCACCAAACGCGGACTGCGATTCCAAGAATTGCATTTACCGGATACCCTGTGAGTACGGAAAATCCTATATCGGTGAAACTAAGAGGCATTGAAAATTCGCATTGCCGAGCACAAGAAACACACACAGCGAGAGAAATCCAGCAAATCAGGAATAGCAGAGCTTGTTTGGACACATCAACATAACATCGAGTGGTCCCAAGCTGAGATCATACACAGGGAGGAACACTGGTTCAGGAAGAAATTCAAAGAAGCCGCATACATATTGTCCAACAATGTATTCAGCCAAGCTAGCGTAGAAATACACAACATATGGAAACCCATAATCGAGCAAAAAATTTCCAACTCCAGCCAAACTACAGATATTGTGGAATATTCTTCTTCAGCTTTGGTTGAATGAGCAATAGGCAAAGACCTAAGTTTATTGCCATTAGGTAAAAGTACACATTTGAGACTGCGTTTTGAGGAGTCTATAAGCAAACGCCAATTATTAGGGTCGTATTTTTCTAATCCCATTTCAGCCACTAATCCCAGAATATTATTGCAAAAAACGAAATCGTTCTCCTTAGAAAACAATGGAAGTGATTCCTTTTCCCTGAGGCATTCGTTTCTTTGGTTACTAAATTTCTTTCTTTAAATCGAAAAGCTAGAAGTCCTGATGAAGCTTTAGATAATCCGAAATCTCTTATTAAAATCATTTAGATCCTCTTGGTTGATTGGTCTTGGTCTTTCGACGTCTTCAAATTCGCTACCACTATCTTCGCAGCTTGTGTCACTTTCTTCCATTCGTTGAACAATTTCGTGCGTAGGTACCTGAGATGTACTTGGTTGGAGTTCTAATGTATCAGTTGAACGCAGAACCAGTCTACTAACTGACGGCACAGTAGGAATGATTTTGGCGGTTAGTTCCGGTTATGTTTACGACGCGACTCTAAAATAACAGTCGTCGTGGTGTTTCGACGGTCCACGCCAAATCATAGGACTAATGAGGTTCAAAGAATCTCTCTTGTCATTTTTCCATAATCGTTAACGACTCCACACACGTTTAGGCAGTATATTCATTATCCAGGGCTTGTTGTTTGTTACCAATGGCGTTGAAAATACTCCATGTAGGCATTTTTCACGAAGTGCGACACATTAAAACAGAATATTGTGGATGTATATTTGCCACAAATGTAACAAAATCTATTTGGATTGTTTACATAGGTCCTTCTCGACGAAGCCATTGCATAAAAAGAAACAGAAACTAGTAAGACATTCGCGATAGCGATATCAACAGTCAAATAGAGAGTACATTTTAAGGGAGTACATGTATCTCCTAATCTAGAGCTGCTAGAAAAAATCTGAGAGTAGATTTAAAATAAGCGAGCCTAAATAAGTAAACAAAAATTAAAAAATCTCATGCCACAAAAAAATTCGATTTTGTTGTGAGTGTTATGAGCGGTATGGGCATATACAAGGAGAGGTGGATGCGACTCACCTGTCAAAATCTGTCTGTCTGTGTTCCGTTTGACGGAATCCTTTTCAATTTTTACTAAAAAAATGCCGAACATTTCGGTTCGGTAATTTTTAGTACATATTATCAATAATTTCAACATTTCATTCATTTTCATTTGATCAGTTCTTTCATAGATTTCAAATCTTTAACAGTCATATAACATCTGTAACATTCATATATCCATAGTATGTTGAATTTTTTGAAAGTACGTTTCGAACGTACGTACGTATGGAAAGTAATATATAACATTTCATTTGGAAAAAAAACAGTTTGATACGAGGGAGTATCGACCCTTCATACTGAAGAATATTTCAGAAAAGCCGTATGTATTTTTATGAAACATTTTTTGACAACTACACTCCTTTTGATAAAAACTCGATGTGACAAACACTGCGACAATCAAGAGAAAACTTTTTTTTTGTCAATATGATGCATCGATTATGCTTTATTTTTCAGGGGTTTGGATAATGTGGCGATCAAACAATGCATTGGATTTTTACATAAAATAACCAAGCTGGGTAGAACGGTAATATGCACAATTCATCAACCACCATCTTCGTTATTCCAGAATTTTGATCAGGTATGGTATATTAGATACGAATGCATTTGTCGGGAGATGTTAATTCAACCATTGTATAAATCGTATAGAATTTTCCATGAACAATGTCAAAACTATCAAGTAGAACTGAAGCCTTCAGATGATAAATTCAACAGATAATTGCTAGCTCAATATTCATACAAATCTCATAGAATGTTTACTGAACAATGTTAGCATCAATCATCAGGTAGAAATAAAGGCTTTGTAATGAGGAATTTAACAAATACTTTTTACAACTACCAAAAGTCAACCAAGTTTGTCTCATTCGGGGGTTACTTCAATATGAAATGATTTCCACAATAACTAATTGAATTTCTAACAAATTTTGAAAGCCTCTTTGATATGACCAACGTACTCTTCACAATAATTCAGGTTTGAAATAATCCCGTTGTTCTCAGCTTTGTCTATTCTCTATGTGACATATTTGTTCTCATTTGAGCGTATGAAATTTATGAGAGTAACAAATTTCAGGTTTATGTAATGGCAGATGGTTATTGTGTTTTCAACGGATCTCCATCCAAATTAGTACCATTCATGTCATCTGCCAACTTCATTTGCCCGCCCACATCTACACCTGCAGACTACAGTAAGTAGGTACCAAAAAGTTTAAGATTTTTGTTCTGTGATCAAAATGACAGCATTTGAAACTCATATAAAATGATGGTTTTTCAGTTCGAATTTTTTCGGTCTTTTCATCGGTCCATATAAAGAATTAAAATTGGTGATGGTTTCTTGAAGAGTGGTAATAGAATATTTTGAATTTGAAAACACCACGCAAATAATCTGTAGAACGGGTAACTTTTTCCTAATTCAACAGACATTATATTAATCACGATTTTCCCATGCTGGTCTTTCTTTTCTTGGACATAGTTTATGAATGAAAAGAGAAATTTGAACTGCTGGCGTAGAATAAATCCAAAACAAACACTTTCTCCCTTCACCAGAAATGCAATATATTTCTTGAGATGCGTTTCACCAACCAAGTTGGCGTCTTCAGGAGATGAATTTGTATAGTTTTGAAACCATTTGAGAAAGCCATTCATAATATCTCTGCTCTATATTCTGCACGTAAATTCAATAACAGAAAGGAAAACTTAAAAGAATCTAAAATTCTGGTGGAATTAGAATCTGTGAAAGTATTTTTGTAATCGAAATTTGACTTGAATGTAACGTTAATCTATTCATTTAACTGTTTTCGAATAATTTTTTTCTTGTTTTCAGTAATAGAACTGGTTCAATCGAATTCTGAAAATGTAACTGTACTCCAAAATCGAATCCAAAATGGAAAATCTAATGTGAAAGACGATATCGAGAAAACATTTATCGATACAAACTGTTATGACATATCCGAAATATACCAAGACACAACGGAAGCAAGTAAGGAATTTATATCTGTATAATTTTTAAAACAGAATATTTATTACACCTTTACTTCACAAAATTTAATTTGTATTAACATGACAGTGGTCTCACAGTACAATTTCTATAAAACTACAAAACTGTCATAGCAGCAGAAAAGACTAGAAAACGGCCCACCAGTTAAAGCGAAGGAAACTTGGTATACGGGCGGCCCAAGAACCCAAGATGGAGTAGGTGCCGGCATTTATGGAGGCAGAGCGAAGACGAGAATCAAACTCGGCCTCGGACAGAACGCAATATCAGGCAGAAGTTGTCGCTATCCAATACAGCATAGGAGATAGAGGGGTAAAAAAAGCATAGCCATTAGGGAGCTGTCTTAGCGCATTAAATGAGCTAGGTTCTTACAATAGATTTACCCTAGCCTGGATACCCGGACACAAGGGCAATGAAGAGACCGATGTTTAGCACGTAAAGGTGCATCCAAGGCAAATGATGAAATATAAAAATATATATTTTTTGTGGGCACTTGGCCTTGTTATATGTAATACCAGTATCAAGAAGTTTATTAGTGGATTTTGGGCAAATAAAAGGCGGATATTAAAATACCGTATGGTTGTTTTTCGGCCTTCCGAATGTTGGACAACACAATTGACGACAAGGATGGTATAGGTCCAAAACCTTCTGTGGGCTGGTGAAGAGAAGCATAAAGACATCTTTCAATCATGGATGTAAGCCAAATCGCTAAAAAGGTAGGAAAAGCATCCAGGAATGAAGCAGGCAAAAAAGTTCGTGAAGGAACCCTCTTCTAAATTCACGGAAGTCTTGCTAAACCACAACCGTACAGTTGAGAGGTTAGTGGTAGGTCTACTAACTGGGCATTGTCGGCTCATAAAACATATGAGCATTGTGGGCCAGGCAGAAAAAACTCCAAACAGGCTCTGTCAGGAGAAAGAAGAAACAGCCCTTTACATGTTATGTGAATGCAAAGCGTATGCAAGGCTGTGGGGCATGGGAGATGCGGGAATGAGGAACCGGAGGCTACTGAGTAAATGTGAATCAGATTTGATTTTCCATACTTCAGAGTGACATCAAGGTGGCGCGTATCACTGACCATCATCCTCAGCCGTTAGCAGTCTCTTGGGATTCCTTCTACAGAAGTTTCTTTCAGAAGTATTTCTTGCCACGATTCTTATTATTTCGAGCCTTCACCTGGATACTGATAAAATTAAAGGTCTCAGTAGACGGCCAAAAAGAAATGAATGATTTACTTCGATGTATATGCTCTAGACAATTGTATAATTACCAAATAATCTTATTTAGTTAACACTCAATTATATTTTGTAATTTCATTCACTTGACTCACAATTTACTTGATTGACCTTATGGTACTATTTTTTTGTAGAAACATCCAGTGATAACGTAGAGTTTCCTACGTCATTTTGGACTCAATTTCAAATTCTGCTCTACAGAATGTTCACCCAACAGAGGAGGAACAAAACAATGCTCTACATTCAATTCTTTCACCACCTTGTCTCCGGGATATTGCTGGGAGGAATTTTCATTGGTACAGGAAACAAGGCTAGTCAAACGATGTCTGTGTTCAAATACATCCTTAGTACTAACGTATTTTATATGTACACCTATGTTATGTCGCCAGTATTATTATGTGAGTATTCGACCTTTCTTATTCTCAGGAACTTCTTATACTTGACAAATGTTTCGCACTTTAGGTTCCTCTGAACTATAATTCTACGTAAAGAAACGCTTATAATTCTATATAAGGAAACGCTTACAAACGCCAACTTCACGTCATTTCCCCGAACAGTCTTCTGTCTCGCTCATTTTATTTTGTATGCAGGTGTTCAATTTTCGTTTGGCAAAGCCTGAAGCGATGCCAATGACAGGTTCTGGTCTGATGAAGCTGCTTGTAGCACCCTCCTTTGCAAGAGAATCAGCAGTTTCATTGTCATCCAGACCAGAGACTCTGTTAAGTCTTCCTATCGAGAAGAGTCGTTTTTGGCAATTCGCTACCAATTTAGACGTTGCTCGGTAGGAGCCAAGAGATTCCAACGCCACTTGACTATCCGAGAATATGTTTATTGACTTGTGAATGAGGTCAGATTCTTTCAATCTCTCCGCACATAGTTCAGTAAGGTAAATTTCCGCTTGAAATACAGTCGCATAGGTTCCTAGACAGGTTGATATCTCTGTCCTGGGTCTGCGACTGAAAACAGATGCACCAGAACTGGAAGGCGTTTTTGATCCATCTGTGAACCAACAACTATCTGCTCGTAACAGTACTTTACAAGGCAGTTCGTAGTTGACAGTTGGAAGCATAAAGTCAAAGGTCATTTTCAGAATGATGTGACTTCCAATGTCAACCAACAGTCTGTTGCACTCTGCATTAAATTGATTTGTGCAATTGGTAATGTGCACAAGTCTGTATGCAGTCGATCTAGCCTCTCTCTCCAGAAAACTCTGGAGAGGTGGTAGATCTAGAAGGATCTCTGGCATCGCCTGTCAACGTTCTTGAATTTGAAATACGAGTAACTGTGATATTACGACCGTACAATACGTGATGATATGAATAGTAGGTGTTCGAATTTTCATTGTCTAAAAAGTTTTAACAGATTCATAAGCCAACAGGATATGAGTGAAGATACATGCTGAGTTTTAAATATTCAAATGAGTTACACTTAGGACTATGAAGGAATAAACATGCATTGTCAATGAAATATACGATAAAACACATAGGAAAGAAAACTTTAGGCTTTCTACTCTTTCATCTTGCTTGGCTTGCCTTTGAGGTTGTGGTTCAGGGTAGTACCACTGATGAGACCTATGGCGGGTCTGAACAGCGCTATCTAGTGTTGAATCATACATCTCTTGTATTTGGACTTTGTGTTTGGGCTCCGCTTTTTAACATCTTGCCTTGCAGTAAAAGTTGCAATGAAAGACAGTTTTTTGACTTTGCAACTAACCACTTTGGGGAGCGTCTTCGTGAGAGGAGATGCCATCGCCTTTCTTCACTGACCGTATTAAGAAAAGAATAGAATACCTCATCGACTCATAAACTTTCTACATGTATATGAAATATAAATGAAAATAATAACTATTATAATATCTCTGATGTTAGTAAAAATATCACAACTTATTTATTCTCCACAAATCGCAATGAGATGCGTTCATAACTGGCATTAAAATTAGTGTTACCAAAAAATCGTCCTGTTGGGTTGCTGGACTGAACCAAAATGCAAATTTTCATTCTTCAAATGAACACATATACTCATTTGGAATGCAACACCTATCTGTATGTTTGTGAACAATAAAATAAATGCAATAACTTTTTCAGTTCCTTTAGAAGTCAGTTTGCTAAAACGAGAGTATTTCAATAGATGGTTTGGTCTCAAGGCATATTTTTGTGCAGTCACCTTGGTTAATATTCCAATATTGGTAAGATCTTTCTCACCTCCCATTATTTCATTCCATTATATCATCGAATTTTTTATTTTACAGATAGTCAATGTTTTGCTATTCAACAGTATATCATATTTAATGGCGGACCATCCATGGGAACTTCAAAGATTTATGTGGTTCAATTTGTTAGCGTTGGCAATAGCTCTGTGTTCCCAAGGACTTGGGTATGCCATTGGTGGTGCTTTTGAAATATTGGTAAGTAGTTAGTGGAAAGTAGTAGGGTCACTCATATAACTGCAATATCTAAAGTTCTAGAGTTCTTGGAATATATACTAGGTATATATTCGTCAAGTTTTCACTTTTTGAAATATATTTTCGTATTGTCTCTAACATGCAAGGTGGAATCTACTAAACTATAATAATAATGAAAATAAAGATTTGAAGAAATGAAATTTTGCTGCAGCTGTGTAGTTCGGAAAAAAATTGTAACATTTTCATCAACTTCACAATCAATTTCTGCTTTGAACTCTTTTTTCTTAATAATTTCATACCTATTTTCCGTTTGTCTTTAATTCTTCTGACCAAAAAAAAGTGATAAAGAATGCATCTCATATTATCAATCAAAGTTTTTTAAGTCAATGCAGGCACACACTAATAAAATTACAGAGACGAAGGTTTCAGAAAAACAAAAATTATAACACAATTCAGTGAATCAAATCCAGACTTCCAAACCCGAATTTCCATATCTTAACAATTGAGTCTTAATTTTTCTGTTATTTTTTTTCCAGTCAGGATCAGTAGTAGCCCCCCACATCTTGGCCGTGCTCCTCGCACTGTCAGTTTATGGAATGGGCTACAAGGATGATGTAGAGTACTTTATGAAAGTTCTCATGTCCATGAGTTACCTGAGATACGGAGTTGTAGGCATCACAGCGTCCTTCTTCAACGAACGGGAGCCTCTAGAGTGCGACGAGCTTTACTGTCACTATCGAGATCCTAAAATACTGATGGCTGACATGGGTATGGCGAATTCGAAAGTAGAGAACCAGCTTTTCTTCACCCTCATTATGATGATTATATTCAGGGTGATCGCTTATGTGGCGCTCAAATACAGGATGACGTCGGAACTAAGAAACAGAATCGTTCACATTGCTGTCAAAGTTATCAAGCAGAACGAAACTTGATGTGTTGTGTGTAATGAGTATTGTATACGGGTAAAATGGCAAACAAGGACCGCTAGGTCTACGCTGAGTTAGCTAAATTTTTGCACTCGGAATTGCCAGAAAACAGTTGCTAGAACATATTAAAATCTGCTTATTCGAAGACATTCTGTTTATATAAATGGTGCTACATGGGCACGGTGTTAAATTATCAAAATAAACCTATTTATTACTTGTTTTTTTATTCATCATTCCTAATCGATTAGAAGTGCATATGAGAGTTGAAAAACATTATATCTAGAATATCAACAATTTCTTAGAAGTATAATTGCGAAATTAACAAAAAATATGTCAAAATGAAAGAGTTAACTCGAAACTTAATTCATTTTGTTTTTGTTTTGTGGAGAAACCTAGACAGCTCAAAGTCAAACTCAAGTATTTAAATGTTGCTACTCACATGAAGATATAGAAAATTAAGGTTCAATAAACGTAGAGCACCAACAAAGAAAGCGAACTAACTTTTGAGTTGAAGTACATAAGTAAGTCCACCCTGTAGCAGAAGATATGGCATTTCAGTCACACTCCAAAATGCATAATAAATAACAAAATATCATTTGGAACAAAATTTCAAAACTGTTGACTATTTTTTTTTTATTCATTCAAGCTTTTTGAAAGCGATGAATTTAACATTATCTGTCATATCGTCAAGAAAGCCATGAAAAGTCTCAAATAAAAGTGAGTCTCCACATAATTTTGTTCAAATGGTTTTTTTCCAAATTGTAATTTATTGAAATATACAAATGTTCATTTTGTTTCACTGACAGTTACTCTTGGTGATATAAAAAAAATTAATTGAATACAGTTAACAAGCATATCTGTTCTGCACCATGAATATTCTGCTAACACCTCAATTATTAAAGAGTCTTATTTGGAAAATCATGGTAGCAAAAGTAACATTCATCATCAAAGAAACAAGAAATAAGGAAGGCTTTTCAGCCTTCGATATACATCGATATTTTTAAATATCGATATTTGGGAGTGCCAATATCGATATTTCAGTATGGATACTGAAGACTGATATTATCGACACCGATACCTCCATTTTCCTAATATCGAAATTTCGATATCGAAGTCAAATATTATGCAACCAACATAACAAAAATTGCTCCGCCACTCTTGTGGACACTAACACAACTATTAAAAACATCCACACCATCTATCACATAGACGATGTACATGGCACGGGGGTGGTACCGCTATTTCAAGGGGATGTAAAGTGTTTTAACCAATCCTTTGTTGTGTTGGAAGGCACATAGAAAAATATACCCTAAACTTGTAAATATTGCTGTAAAATATTTAGCAATCGTGGCAACGTCAGTACCTACAGAAAGACTATTTTCGAAGGCAGGACAAACATTGACAGCAAGAAGGGACGGACTGAGTGGTCAAAAACTCAAATATTATTTTTACGCAACGCAGCGTAGATAAAGACACTTGGAATTTGGTTTAGAATTTCAGCAGTGTTAATGAAAATTAAGCTTTTCTAAACAGCCACGTATAAAAATAAAAAGGTTCTGGAGACATAATTAGCATACATACACAGAGGGCAATGGCGTTATACGACTTTGCTGTGACCTTGAAATAAAGGGAAAAAAGTTTAAAATTATTTTATTCTTGTTATTGAGTAAAGCAACATAAATATTCAGTGAAATGGGTAGCTAAATGGGTGGCTTAATAACATTTGAGTTGCATGTCCCCTGTCCTCCGACTCATTATAGGACGATGGCATCACTGACCAACCACTTTCCACACTGGAAGTAGGAGAGGCATCATTTCACCAAAAACTCCAATAATTAGAAGAGAAATCTTAACAGAGTGGTCTTGATAGAGTCTGCAGAGTTCGAAGGAAAAATCTGAATATATCAATTTTCCTCCTCTTTTCGAACATCTGTCTCACCTGGATCTGAAATCTCCACGACAGATATCGTTTTACTTTGATAGCCGAGGAGAACATCAGACTTCTTAGATTATATTAACCTGGGAGGAATTAAATAAATTAGGAACTTCCCATTCTCTACCACGGATTTAATATCCCCCGGAGCATAGACAACAACGGTGTCTCGTTACTACCGTACAAGATAGTAAGAGAGAACTCTCAGGGCCAACGCGGCTCTGGTATTTCAATTATCTGAAAAAAAAATTAAAAAAGACGTTAATCTTCCCTGTTCCGAAAATGTCATCTGACAACACTGGTTACACTTGTCTCAGAGTCTCAGTACTTGAACTTGTCAGCAGTGTCAGTTGTCATGGTGTAATCTGTTGTTAATTGACGTTTAGAATGTTTACAGAGGAATTTCTTTAATTATTAAAACAAATGTTTATATTTGTGACCCAATGATGATAAAGTATGTAACAGAAACATATCAGCAATGAACAGGACTTACTATCATTCATTCGAATTTAATACAGGTTATTTGAAATTTATCATAAACCCCAATTTTCATTGAAAAAAAATACACACCTATATGACGTAATTTTTATTTCAGATAAAATCATTCAGAACTCGTCAAACCTGAAAAATATTTCATAAGAGAAAAAGCAATGAGAAATTTATTTACCAAGGTTGATAGCATATTTAGCAAAACAAACTAAACAAATATCTGATTTTTATATACTATGTGTTATACAGATAAATTAACTAGCAAAAATGGATGATTACAAATTCCTTTTCAAAGTCGTTTTAGTCGGGAACGCAGGCGTTGGAAAAACGTGTCTTGTGCGGCGTTTCACACAAGGACTTTTTCCACCTGGCCAGGGTGCTACCATAGGAGTGGATTTCATGATTAAAACTGTTGAAGTTGGGAATGAAAAAGTAAAAGTAAGTTCATATTTCAGTTATAATTTAAATGATTCATGAAACTTTTGAAGAGATGTAACTGTCAGTTTTATAATAATAACAAAACGTTTTTATTGGTAGAGAAATACATATGTAACACAAGTTGGAACAGAAACTACGGAATCATGGTATTTTTCATTTTGGGGGGACTGTTACAGAACTGTTCTGTTCTGCACAATGATTCTGAATCAATTTGGAATGGTGGTTCTTCTAACAGTTCAATTTACAGCACCAAAACAAATAATAATCTTGTGTACTAAAAATAATGGAATGATCTTAAAACCACAGCTGAAAAAAATCAAAAAGTAATATATAATGGGTTCAAATTCATGATTCCAACGTGGAATAACAAATTATATTTGTGAAATCTAGAAGTTGACGGCATTTACTTCAGTTACAGATATGGGATACTGCTGGTCAGGAACGGTTCAGGTCAATTACCCAAAGCTATTACAGGTCTGCTCATGCCCTTATATTAGTGTACGATATTTCTTGCCAGCCCACATTTGACTGCTTACCAGATTGGTTGCGAGAAATCGAAGAGTATGCTAGCAGTAAGGTATTACGTGTGCTTGTTGGTAAGTAAAATCTTTGTATGTTAAAATCTGTTTTTCGTTAAGCAACTGTCAACAGATCTCATGAATGAAAAGTATTAATGAGATCTTACGTTTCAATGTGTGATATGTAGCAAAGTAATTTTTTGATTCCATAAACAGGTAATTTTTCGTCATTCAAACCTTTGTGTCCAAAGAGCATTTTTTTCTTGTAATTTGCAAACTTGAGAATATTGAATATTTCAGAATTCACTTGATTCATGTTTTCAATTTAATTTTTTCCTTCCTGTATTCTTGTTGTCCTGACTGTATGTGCTTTCAAGGTGGATTTGATGAATAGTTCCGAAATTAATATGCATTTCATATATTATTTTTCAAAGCTATTGATAGTTTTACTGTATATTCATTTACTATTCATGTAGTTTTTTTTGCTTTACAAAAATCATATACAATGTGGAACATTGTTGGAAAGGGGGTAGTAAGTGTCCATGGTAGAAACGTCACAGTCATTTTTAAAACTTTGGGTGAAACTTCCTGATAAATGAGATTAACTTCTTGGAATAGTGGTTAAAAGACTGGGCTAATGTGTCAGAGGTCTGCTTTCAATCTTGATTCAAGTCACATTATCGACATTTTTTTTAAATTGTTTTCCACAAAATTCTCAAACTGTTCGAAATTGAATTAAACAACAAAAATAGACAATATTTTTGAATGCTTCTTTCAGATTATTTTTCTTTTTTTCTTTATCTCTGATTCGGATTCACGAATAAATCTTATTTCAAATTGTTTTTGTTACAAGTCGTAGAAAAAGTGTAGTATTCTATTCACGAAAAAATTACAATTACTTGCTCCAATGATTTACAACACCAGCCAAAGGCGAACTTCATACTTTTGAGTAGTGACCACATATCTCGCTAATTGAATAATATACTATTGAAACTCCTAATTTCTGAGAGTAAAGATGAGTTGATCATTCGACTAGGTGGTGTGTTTAAACATATCTTGATGTTTTTTATGAGTTTCGCAGGTATTTCAGGCAGACCCGATGGAGCCTTATTTTTGAGATTTGAGATGATACTGACAACTTATTTCTCACTATAGGGATAAAAAACATAGTGGCATGATCGATGAAATTCATACTGCTATCATTGGATATCATAACTTCACAATCTATTAAAATTTTCCCAACAGAGTTTGTACGGTGGTAGTTGGTCCACCCATAAAAGTAATGTTGAAATTCAGATTTTTTTCAAAATTGCTTGGAACAAAAATATGTAGTATTACTTACTGTTCAATTTCATTTTCGTTCAATCCCTTGTATTATTGTCACATCTACAGGCAATCCATTATTGAAATGTGTTACGTTCCATAATTGTAATGAAAAAAATAATTTCAGGTAACAAAATAGATAGAGAAGATAGAGAAATACCAGCTCATGTTGGCGAAGAATTTGCAGAAAGACACAATATGTACTATCTGGAAACTTCGGCAAAAGAATCAGACAATGTAGAAAAACTGTTCATGCAAATAGCGGAAGATTTGATGAAGGTATGCTCATGAATTTTCCTTTGGAATTCTATTATATGAAAAAAATTATTTCAGCAAGCCAGAAGTAAAGATCTTCCAAGGTATAATTCTAACAGCCAAAATCTTAATGGCAGAACTTCAACAATCAGCGACTCTAGTTGTTGTAGCAAACTCAACTAGGTCTGAATTGCATCTTTCTAGTACTAATTTTTTTTTTTCATTTCATAAAGGTGCTAGTTTACTTTTTTAGGTATCTCTTAATAGCTACTTATTGTTACTACTAGTCAAGAGGAAGAGGATGTTATTTGTTGAATTTTAACTTTGTTGTAGCTGTCTATTATAACGAATTATTAAGTATATTCGAAAAAACTTTTTTATAGTGCTTCCCGCTTGGATATCAGATCAAAATTTAGTGAACAACTTTTTTGTAGCTCTTTTTGGTTCAAATATTTTTAAGTTGCTCAGTCAACTGTGTAAAGACTTTTTTAAAACTGAGCTTTACCTCAGCAGCAGTTCCTCATAACATCAGTGTTGATTGTAGAATTACAAACTATAGTTTTGTTTCTGCAATTTTCGTATTGTTTTTCAACTGTGTCAATTGTAAAGTCAGTTTAATTTATTACTTCACTATTACTATTATGGCAGCTAGTTGGGTGATTATAGATTTATCATATTTTTATATTTATTTACATTTTTTTAGAATTCGGTTAGCAGGGCCAAGTACTTAATATTTTTTATATTTCATGATAAGAAATAATTCTTATTATTTGTGTGGTAGTGTGGTTCCAGGTATGTGCAACATAATTATAATTATCCAGTACCTTCCGTAAGAGCATTGATTCAAGTATTGACTATACCACATCAATAAGTAAAAATTATTAAACCAATAAGTTGGTCTCAATCCAATTGTTAATATTCTAAATGTTAATAAAAAACCTAGCAAGTGCAATTTTGTATCCTGTTTTGTAGTTTTCATTGGATGGCACTAATCTGAACATTTTTTTGAAAATTTCTTTGGTTTGAATTCGGTCTTGTCAAAAAATAAGTGAATCGGAGACAAGAACAAATTTAATCTGGTAGATCATACGAGATTGGTATTTCATTTGGAGCACATGTAATTTTTCTGAGTTGGCTTCTCTTTGTATTTAAACTCAAAAATGGGCAATACACACAACATCTACATATGACAGCTAACGCTAATGGCAAATATAACACAGTAGCCAACTCAGAAAATATACTTATGCTACAAACAAAAGCCTCATTGATATAGATGATAAAAAAAATATAATGAAAATGACTTTCAAATAGCGAATGAAAATAAAAAATGGATAATAAAAACATCATGTATGCATTAAAACTGACACTAATGATAGATACATAGAGTCGCCAACGTAGGAGGAACAATGCAGGTACTCCAAACGAAATTCTCATCTGATATGATCTATTGGCAAGAATCTTTCAAAATAGTGTATAAACAACATATTGAGGTCCTCATCTAAATTCATTTTTGTAATGAACAAAAATGTTAAAATGTGTCTGTGTATTGAATTGATCTATAAAAATTATTCCAACTTGAAATTTTCTGCATATTCTCGCAATGATTCAGATAATATTTTAATTTTGGAAGATTAGAAAATTCAGTTTTTTTAAAATTGAGGAATTATTTGTTATGTATTTTTCAAATTATATCTCTTGCAAAAGCAAATAATTATCTGAAGCTTGCGTAGTAAAATTGTATATACTAACATGAATAAGGCTGGATCTTCAAAACAAAAAAATATACAAAATATGGTTTTATGATGAAAAGGCAAATTCATATCAAAAGAATTCTTCAATAAATGTGATTTTCGTTACAGTGGCATCAAAAGTCAATACTAGCTCTATAAGAAAGTCGGGCAATAACTTTTGTGTTGGCAGAATTGTTAGCCCGCCCGTACACGGACCACATATTTGCAGTTGAGGCAACCACAACATTGTGGCCACGTTGACTACACTTCGAGGTTGACCCAACCACATTTTTGTGGTCGACTTGCGGTCATATAAACCGCCCATGCAGTCGAGGTAACTGACATCTATATTTTGTGGTGTCAGAGTTTAGTTTCAGTTTCAATATGGAGTTCGAAGAAGAAATGTTGTGTTTCTTCTTCGGTACGATCGCTTTGGGTACATCCACTTCTAGTTGCGCATCAACAGGAAGGAAATTTTTATATTTTATTCGGTAAACTCCGGCAAGACGAAAAAAATTTTTTTAATTACTTCATAATGTCCATTAGTTCTTTTGATGAATTAATTAGAATTTTTAAATAAAAAATTGAACGCTATGAGAAAAAGTATTCCCGCTGAAGAAAGACTTGCTATAACGTTGAGGTTAGTGATTAGAGAAATTATATCACGTGATCTGGGTATGTGATGAATTTGGGTACGACGGTGTACGCAGTTGGGTACGACTGCAAGTTTGTGGTTAGTGTACGGTGGATGCCGCGATGACCACTCGGCGGAGATCAACAGCAAGTTGACTACAGACGCCCGTTTTGACTGTTGTGAACGCCCGTGTACGTGTAGTACAGTATTTCTTATGGGCGACTTGAGTTTGCTGGAACACGACTACAATTTGTTGTCGATCCAACCGCAAAATGTGGTTCGTGTGGCTCTCTGAAAGAAATCCTGACCGCACGAAAAACTATAATCAAGTTGGAATGTGATATCAGTTCAGGATCGATACCGAGGTCAAACTGCTTTCGAGTTTAAGTTTCAGAGAAGAAGTTGGTATTGTAAGTACTCCCATATCAGGGAGAACCAAAATCTTGCCAATCTAAAGATGAACTTTTGGTGGATGATAAGGACATCAAATGCCACAGGGAAGTGGCATTGGTAGAGAAGATAAAAGTATTCCCTGAGGCGTTACTCAAAAACAGTGAAAATCTTTTGGAGTTGAATAAAATTTAAGCTGAGCTGAGACACCAATGGAGAAAAAAAGCAGCTCTGATAGTTGACATTACTGTCACTGTGGATAAATTACTTGTATAAAGTACCAAATCTGATATTTTTCTAGAGTGTTACTTCGCCACAATGCACCAAAAATATCAAACTTGACACTCTGGACTATAACTTGGGCATAACTCCGAAAGGGGTAAATAAAATAGTGACACCTTAGCAAAGACGTTGTTTGTGCTTTTTATTGTACAATGTCATGCAATTTTTCAAAAAAATTATCTATTACAGAAAATAACCCCTAAATGTGAAAAATTACATTCGATTTTAGCTATTGTATAAAATTAATATTTCTGACCTGGTTTTCAAAGGCCAGATATATCAAGGCCTATTTGTCATTGTCCAATTTGAATATATCTAGGATATCATACAACATATTTATTACAATATGGATGAACACTTAAATTTCAATAGGAAAGCAAGTGTTCATTTTAACCTCTTTTGTGATTAGTCTTAGGGTTAGTATAGTATATACAAAGTCAATTCGAATGACATGATGCCCATCTTCCAAAGCTAGCAATATTAAATTCCAATGATTCTAAAGAGAATATGAAAATGTCTTTTTTGACTTCAAGAATGCAAATTATATTGGTTTGGATTACTATATAGGGTGTGTATATATACTATATATGTGTATGTATACTATATAATGCGGCAAAAATTCAAGGGATTATTCTAAGGATATTTTGTCCTTTGATGATTTTTGATAGGGCGCTTTGTTTTGAAGATATGAAGCCAAAAAGAATGTTGACAATAACAATTCATTACCAGAAATTACATGTAATATTTCTTAATCTTCAAGAACTGTTGAAAATAACTACCTCCCACTCGGTTGCAAGAATCCAATCGACTCCTAAACTTTTTGAAAAACACCAGGATCACTTACGAGACACACTGTTTAAATTGAATGTAGCAACGGAATTGTTAGATTTTTTATAACTTGGTAGGTCCAGTGTAGTACACTATACTTTTATTTTGGGTACGTTAATAATTTTAAAATTTGAAACCTTTAATAATAGGTACATCGAAAATAGCATACGTAATAATAGTAAAAGTAATACATGTTATTAAAATAAGACAGTAATCAGTCACGTTCATAATAAGTGACTTTTATACAAACAAAATCAAGGATATATTTAATACATACGGCATAACTCAAGAGGTAAAAACGTTCACCAGAGTGACGAATACAAGTAAAACACTAATTGATTATGTACTAACGAATTTCGAAAATAGTCAAGTGAATGTACTAGACGAACCAAAAATTACTGATCATGCTGTAATATCAATCAAATGTTTCTATTCTGAAAAAATTAATTTTAGCAACAAATGTATGAAAACTGTAAGACGATTAACTAATAAAAATCTCGATGATATCAATTTAAACTTGATTAACTGCACTTTTCTGCTAAATAGTACCAATATAGATGATATTTTCATTAATATAAAAGAACACTTCAACCAAGTTGTAAATGAGATAGCTCCCTTAAAAACAATTACTCATTATGAAAATGAATTACCCTGGTACGACAACGATCAATATATGTATTTTCTTTCGGGCTATAAGTGTATATTGGGATAGCATTCTTATTGGTTCATATGTAGGATTGTATATGATTATTATGGTATTTGGCTATACTTGAATGATTTTCTTTTAGCAAAACCATGGAAAATATAACTCGAAATGTAAATACCTAGTGTGTACGTTTAAATTTAAAACAAAACAAATATATTAATACTATCGAAGGAGCTGCTAATTACTATATATAAGATTATACTTTGTGAATGTAGATTAAGATTACCTATTTCAAATAAATAAAGATTAATAGCTTTTATCTATGTATACATGTATGCACATATACATAAGAATGTTTGCAGCGCTACTTCAAAAGGAACTCCTGTATCGTGTAGGGATTTTTGTTGATTAAAAATCTTTTAAATAGAAATTTAAATTTTCTCAGGCACCCTGTTTCCCTAATCTCTTGTGGAAGATTATTAAAAAGTTTTGGTCCCAGGTAACAAGCAGAGTTTTCTGTAACCTTGTACTTATAAAATGGAATATAAAATTTGTCTTTGTCTGGTATTAATGCTGTGAATATTCATATCAAAGTAAAGTATTTTCTATTATTAAATACATAAATGCATAGCTCTAAGTTAAATAAACTTACTATTGTTAATTAAAAGTCTGAAGTGGAAAAAGATATTTCTACATGAGTATGTACAGGGTACCCTAGCAATGAGTCGCATAATCTTTTTTTGTACCGAGAACCTTTGATGTAGTAATGAATATTACTGGAGTTTTTTCCCAACACCAAACCGTTATTTTAACACCTCGACACGTGTTTCGATCACCAAGTTATCATCTTCAAGAGGAAGATCAAATTTAAAAATTACCAAAATTGTTATTGTCGAAATTCTTTTTCGCCCCGTATCTTCGAAACAAAGCGCCCTATCAAAAATATCCTTAGTATAGTCCCTTAATATTTGTCGCATGTTTAATAAATACCCTGTATATCTGGAATTGATTGGGACTTATATCTTAGCTGAATAACTGATATTAACCAAGTTACAGTTGTGATTAAATTGAAAGGGGTATATTTTGGGAAAGGATTTGGCATTCTACGTCTCCATCTTAATACAACAAATGTGGTGATCTTTCAAAGAAAGGAAGAAGGCAATTAATTTCAGAATAAACTCTTCACGAAGATGTGTAGGTATATCATTCAAAGAAGTAACTTTCAGACACAAACTGGAAGAAAAACCCTCTCGAAACAACTACTTTCATATAAACATTAAATTACACGAAAAAAAAAACTTTAGAAGCAATTCCTTCTCTATAAACATTGAATTATACAAAAAACTACTCACCTCCTCACAGAGGGACATAAGTTCAATTATGAATTCAAAACTCTTCATTTTCAAAAGAAAGGTTTGAAATTTGACTTTCTAGAAAATATAAAAATTGGGTTGAATAGTTCCCCATTACTTGAAATGTTTTTACCAGATAATCATGCTTTGTCGCCGTAAAATATTTAATTGTTATATTTATTAATTTATTGACTTGTTTTTCACATGGTTTTCACTATTGAATAAAAAGTATTTTTACTTTTACTAATTGCTTTTACTAGTTAATGAATTGATTTAGAATATAAAATGTTTTAATCTAAAAGTAGTTAATCAAATTCAGCTTCAGAAAGCTATTCTATAACTAAACATATGTCGCGGTTTTTTAAACCTTTTATAGTGAAGTGAAAATCAAAATGAATCTTATAAGTTATGAATACAATACGAACTTCTTTCACACATCAGAATATTAGTATTATTCGTAATATAATTTATTTATATATTTCAAATTATGAAAATAGCTTACTTTTCACCTGTTTCTCCAATGTTGAGTAATAATGCACAAACGAATGTTTATAAATTTTTATTATAAAATTACAAAAATAACTGGGGTAAAATAAAAATAGAATATATCCATAACTACTCAATGACATCTAACCTCAACCATAATGAAGAATGCTGACCTCTAGTGCAGGTCTCTGTCACTTTGAATATTCTCATAATAAAAAAATACATATTTGACTAGTAAAATCTGAACATCAATTCGGTTTTGGGATACTTTGATTCCGTTTTGGTATACTTTGTTATTTGTTTTGTTAACAAATACTGGAGAGGGATCATGCTGAAGATTTCAGTGGGTAAATTTCACACCACCACAGAAAGGTTCAGTTCCCCATTGTAGTTTCATTAGTTTATCGAAACTTGGTCAGCACTTAACGGAATTTTCTTTACAACAAACCTAGTTTAAGTAGTAAATAAATTAGAAAAAATCTTCATAACATCACCTGAGGAACAAAAGAAAACAATGCCGTTCAACTGAGTGTTTTGACTAATTGCTTCTCACAGGTCTAATTTAAATGATAAATAACAATAACATTGACTCGTATCGATTGAACTACACTGCAGCCGCCATTTGACTATCATTATTATTGTCAATGGCACCAAATTTATCAATGCCTAGTAATGTTTTGGTAAATTCAAACAATTTCTCTTGGAGGTCTGCAGACATTGCTGCATTGCTAGCGGCGAATATTTTACAGTTGTGAATGTAGGTTCCCCCTTTGCCTTCAAGACGAGGCGAGAGACAAGCATGCACTATGGGGATGGCTCCCTTTTCCGGACTCTGAAAAGAATTGAAAATAGTCAGTTTTTTATCTATTAGGTTGTTTCAAGAGTTTTGTCTGTTTCAATGTCATGTGTTTTTGTAGCTCCAAATCTCAATAAATATTTATTATACTTGTTTTCTAGTATATATTAATCGATAGAGAATTTTGTACTCTATACATTGATCCTGTTATTTTTTGTCTGAATTTGAATTTTTTGCCTCTTTTCAACGTAGTACTATACCGTTAAGCGATTTTTGGTCAATTTTACTCTACGGATCCAAATTAAAGCAAAGCGCTGCCATAACAACCCAAAAAATTAACCAACCATTTGGCAATAATGGTGTTAATGAACACATTGTTTGACGTTGGTTTGTAAAATTTCATTCCGGAGATTTTTTAACCTTGAAGAAGAGTCCAGACATGGTCGAGCTACAGTTATCCAGGACAAGGATTTGAGGATCCTGGTGGAGACTGACCCATCACAAACGGTACGTGGGATGGCGGTTTCAAATGGTTTGAAACGTATTGGAGAAGTGATGAAGCTCCAAAAGTGGGTGCTCCACGATTTGAACGATCAACAGGAATTGTCACGTTTCGAGGTCAGTTCTTCTTTGCTTTGGCGCAACCAAAACGGTCCTTTTTTGGATCGGATCGTCACTTGTGATGAAACGTAGATCCTCTACAACAGGAGACGCCCAGGCAAATCCCAAAGGTAAAAATCCATTCACTATTACTTTCTGCAACCAGGCCATATCATCACAGCAGTGTCATATTGTTAGGAAATCGACGAAATATACCGAAAATTGCGTCAGCAGTAGCCCGCACAGGCCAACAAAAGAGGTCTGACACGGCAACAACCGACTGCACGTTTCACAAATCATCGTCCGAAACTTAAATGAATTCAGTGTCAAAGTACTGCCTCACCCACCATACTCCCCAGACCTATGACCAATCGACTACCATATTTCCTGGCACTTCGATAACTTTATCACTGGTAAAACCTTCGCCAATAAGTAGCAGGCAAAAACGGCCTTAGTCGACTCGATTGAATCCCGAGCAGATAATTGTTATGCTGACGGAATAAATTAACTTATTTTACGTTGGCAAAAGTGCACTGTTTCAAATTCCGCTTATTTCAAATAAAATCAATGAGTACTCACTGAGATATTACAGTTTAAAGTAAACTCATAAAAATGGAGAAAACTTTTAAGCAATCTAATATATAGTGCATTATAGTAAAAACGAGCCACATTCAAATTTAGTATTCAGGTGAACATTTTTTTATGTAAAAATCAACACCTTGTCAGCCTCCGTCTTCCCACAACAACCTTCATGCCAAAAATTTCAAATGGAAATAATACTCGAGTTACACCATCTGTATCTGTAGAGTAGGAAGGGTGAGTGTAAGCCCACAGCACTTAGGCCACATGTGACCCATTGTACATCATCCCGAGGAGTTGTCCTCCTAGGTCATCGTCCATCCTATCCTTTTCAGGAAGGTGGACAGGTCACTGGGAGACATCTCCTTTATATCGGCAGGTGTAGGCCAAGACTCGCCGAACACACAGTCTCTTATTGACGATAACTCCGGGCACTCGCATAGGACATGTCTGACAGTCTCATCTTCCTGTTCACACATCCTGCATAGAGGTGTCTCCATTAGCTCCATATTATGGAGATGTTTCCTTAGTTGACAGTGGCCAGTCAGTAGATTTTTCCTGGTCATCGCCAGATATTTCTTCGGCGCCAGCTTCCCAGGGTCGCCCAGGGTGATCCTGGCAAGATTGCATCCTTTGATTCCATTCCATCTCTTTAGGGATTGAGCATGGGTGTAACATTTGACTAGTTATGCAATTGTCGAAGTCATCAGTTCCTAGGTGCCACTGGGTCCAAAAATTCTCATTCCAGCCGCTTTCTTGGCTAAAGAGTCGGTAGTACGATTACCTTTACTCAGGATAATGTTATTATCTACCGAGGCTTTGGCTAAATCTTGGTGGCACTCTAGTACCAGCCCTGAGGTAACACGTTGTCTGTTCAAGGCTAATAGGGCTTGTCTATTATTAGTGCAGATTGTTATGTTTTTGCCAGAAATTTCCTTTCTGTTTATTTCTTTTGTGGCAAAATAATCAGTTTGGTAAAGAAAATTATCGAAAACATTATAACTTGAAAAAATTGAAAGGTCTTTCTATTCTGTATCCAACCCTGTAACATTTTCGATATTACAACAATAAGCAACGTCAGAAAAAAATATACACCTCTATTTACATGAACCAATATTCTCAGTTTCAAAATGTCAATTTTTAGTTTTTTCATTAGAAATTGTAATAGGGGGGCCAAAGCGGGGATTTCGTGATTTACTAAAGCGCGGCAGATTAATATACAGGGGGATACCTTGTACCCGGTTAAGTACCTCCACCAAATATGAGCCCCATATATAAGGCCGCCTGTGAGGGATAAAAAAAAATTGATCATCAGAAATTCTCGAGCGCGTCAGATTAAGGTAGGGTGAGTTAATTACCTGCTAAAAAGTGTATATTCCAAAAATCTGACAATTTGAGAGTAACGTAAAGAAAGGGGAGGGCAGCAAAGTTGTAAAAAAATAACGTCATTTCAACATTCTCGAGCGTAGCTAATTTTTTTTTTATTTTGAAGGAAATAATTCAAAGATAACGAAAAATTTATAATCTGATGATTTCCGCAAGCCGAAATAACAAAAATTCGTCGATAAAGTTTAATGCGTGCAGCTGTGTGATACCTATATTTCCCTCTCCGAGTTTCTATTCCTCTATTCTCTATTCACTTTTTCTCTATGTATTACTCTCTCACTCCGTCCCCACTCTAAATTCTGTTGCCATGACGCCATCACAGCTGGTCACAGAGACTCGTTCGTGATGAGGATGATGATTAATTAATCAATTAATTGATGGATGTAGCCGTTACTACGTGGTAGGAAATCATAATGAAGAAAAGAGAAAATAAACTTTCTATGTTTTTTACCATTTTTATTTGTAACTAACGTATATATTGTATAAGTTTGAAAATGTCCTTATAGGACGAAACTGCAGTAACGTTAGTTACAAATAAAAGTGGTAAAAAACATATAAAGTTTCATTTCTCTTTCCTTCATTAATTAATCAATCGATTATAAAAAAATAAAAATGATTAAAAAACATACACTTATTTATTTGCATGCTATTTCCTGAGCTTTTCAATTAATTAAGTTCAATAAATAAAATAAAAATGTTTTTGTCAGATTAAGCGAATCCCTCTAGATAATCGTCAGATTATGAGACAGCACGTCTAAAACATAAAGATGAACCATATATACTTAATCTGACGCGCTTGAGTATTTCAAAATGGCGAATTTTTTTGCACATTATAATAATGGCCGCGAGTTTGCGTCAGATCGAAATCGTCAGATTATTGAATGAGAGCTTTTTTTGTTGCACTTAACACCCCCTTAGAAAATCTGACGCGAAAATCTAACATACCAACATTATTAAAAATACGTAGGACATTGATGCTATCAATATCTGACGCGCTCGAGTATGTCCATGCAACAGTATTTTTTTACATATTTAAAAATCTACAGCCGCTTCCCCCATCGATGAAAAGGTATATATTATATAACATTTTTTTCTTCTTATCATCTAAGCTTTGCAACCTAATATGTCTCAATGACGCTCGAGTAAATCCCCATTTGCATCGTGGGCTCCCCTGCTATTGAGAGGACTCTGAGTCTCCTATTGTTTCATATAAATTAAATTTATTTTTAAAAATTGTAGAATTCACACAGTTAAAAGTTGAGATAAGATTGGCGAGATAAACTAAGAATGATTGTTGGATTTGGAATGCACGTTTTTCATATAAACGTAATATTCAGATAGCCCAAATAAACACAGAAAAAATCAGAACAATTTTACTTTGAATATTTCCATACTTGAAGATTTGAAGTGAGGAAGTTTGAATCTCTACCATTCAATATTTCAAATTATTACTGCTATTAACATTTGACTACTTACCTTAAATAATAACGAAGGTACCCATGGGGTCAAATTCTTCACGTGTGTACCATTGAAGAGTTCTGTGTTGACAACTCCTGGGTGTACTGAATGAGCTTGTACAAAAACTCCTTCTTGTCTCAACTGACTGTCAAGATAGTTACTAAAGAGCACCTGAGCTAGTTTGGACTGAGCATAAGCTTCTCCAGCAATATAATTATGCCTAGGAAATAAAATAATAATATTCATCATTAGTAATATTTCAAAATTTTTGGTGACCATTAGGTGGTATGTGACAGAGAACACCAAGAAATGGAACTGGAGCGATTTACAGAAAAATGTAATATCAATCTTTGATTATAAAAAAAATTGAAGTTAATTTTTCAATAAAAAAAATTGGAGTTGAAATTTTCGAGAATTTTTTTTTGATTGGTTAAAATTCTAATTGGATTTTAGGCAACAATCATATTTAACACCTGGGCTGAAAAGACCCGGGCTTAAGGAAGAAAACGTTATTTTTTTAATCAAAATTAGCTTTACTCATCAATGTTATCATCAACGATCATTCAAAACGATTTTGTGGATGTTTTGGGTATCTCCACGACCATGTTTGAAGTCAGGAAACCAACGTTTATTTGTTGTTTCTGATGAAGTGGAGTCCTTATAATACTTTTCAAGCCATTGCATCGCTTGAACGGTATTTCTTCCCATCAAAAACAGTGTAAAATTAAAACACGAAATTGTTTTTGATCCATTGTTTTGAAAATAACAAAAGTAGTGTCACTCTTAGCACAATAACTCACAAACTTATGAGTAGAATATTATGAAATCTCAGCTGAAGCTGATACATTGTGTCTACAAAACGTTATAGTGCCTATCCAACTGATATTCGCAACATGGTATGTGTTTGAATGCATCCAAATGCCAAATTCTTTGCTTTCATCGAACACATCACCGAATCACTTTCGAATATAGTATAAATAATCGGACCTTACATTCTGCTATTGATCTAGGTGTGATCCTAGACTACACACTTAGCTATAAATCACACATTTCTGCTGTAATTCAAAAATCTATAAAAAAGTTTGACTTTTTAAAGAGAACCACCTGTGATTTCATTAATATCTTTATTTTTCCCTGATTAGATCTTATCTCGATTATTGTTCCACAGTTTGGTCCCCTCATTACGTTACACAAAAAGTGAAACTTGAGGCTGTACAGCACAATTTTCTGCGATATATTGTCTTCAAGATGCGTGTATACTATGACTATACTGCATTGGAATGCATTTTGAACATACCTTCTCTTGAGGTTCGCAGAAAACATAGAGATTTAATACTTCTATTCAAAATTATCAACGGACTGAGTATCAGCCCAGAGCTTGTCTTCAAAATATCTTAACATGTCCCCAGTCGTTCAACTAGACAGGTGTAAACGTTTTACGTTTCTTTTCACAGATTCAATTATTTATAAAACAGCTTTATTCCCAGAACTCTTAGAATGTCTAACTCTTTAAATAACCTTCAAATCTTTAATATATCAGTTTCCCGTTTTAAAAACCATGCCACCTAGCCATGTAATACTCTCTGCTTGTGTTGTTGTATTGCGTCTATTGTTACTTGCCTGTAAGAATTATATTACTTCATATTGTTATACATTTTGATTTTTTTTAAATAATCTACTTATTACCTTACTTTGAAATTGTACTATTCTTATAATTTACTTTTATACCACTGTATTGCATCAAGTACTACATAGCACTGTACTACATATATCTGAATTGGGCTTGCCCATGTATATATACATAAATATTTTCAAAAAATTTTCGTGGAAAAATTTCACTTAACAGGTTTATGAAAACACAACACAACACATATACTTATATATATATATACTTTCGAATGACTTCTTCAGGCGTGTCTTGAGACATAGTGAAGGAAATGTAAAAAACAATAGAAATATGTTTTACTTCGGGTTTTTGTCAATGAAATTTTGAAATTTTTATCTATTACCAATTGAATGAAAAGTTCAGGATCGAAATATATTTCAGAAGTACATCTGGAATATAGAATTGGATTATATTAATTTATAAGATTTATAATTCATGAAATTATGTATAGGATTTCAGTTAAGGATGGGATAAAAAATTGCTCGGGGAGATAGTAAAAAAAACTAAGATTGGAAAATATTAAAATTATGAATAGTTTTGATTCATTTCTTTCCATTTGTTGTGAAGTTTATTATGAAAAGAATTAGTTAATATTTATAAGAAAAAATCATCAAATCATCAGAAGTTTGGACATTTAAACAGTTAATAATGCAATTAACATTTTCATAATGGATGGTTTGGTATTCGTTTTCAACAGCATTATTGAGCTTTGGTTTCAATTAGTAATTTTGAATTAGAATACTGATGATACTCATAATTTATATCATTCTTTCATATTTCATGATATTGATAACAAAATAATATTTTCAGGATTGCTATTCAGAAACTAATTCTTGTATTTAGAAAAAAATGGAGGGGATTTTAAGAAACTATTTCAAGGTGTTACTGACTACTCTCATTAATAAACCTAATATTCTGCTAAGTTTACTTGATTTGTGTTACATGTTTTGTTCCATTATAAGAAGTTTCAACACGAGAGATTCAAACGTTACTTTGATAGAAAACTAGAAACACGATTTTTTAAATTTACCTGCTGTTGATGTCGTCAAAATTTATTCGTCCCACCATATGTGCACAGGATGATACATTGACGATTCTTGACATTTCCTTTGCTTTTCCTCCAGCTTTCAACTGAGGAAGGAGTAAATGTGTCAGAAAAAAATGTCCCAAATAGTTTGTGGCAAACTGAGATTCGTAACCGTCCCTTGTTTCAATATGAGGGCCAAACATAATTCCAGCTAGAATTGGTTGGAACAGATTAGCAAAAAAATCGAAATTTTTTGTGGGTTATGACACAACTCACCATTATTGATTAAATAGTGAACTTCTGGATACTTTTCTCTAACATTCATGGCGAAGTTTTTAACAGAATCCATAACACTTATATCTAGTTTAATAACGTCTATACTGCCCTTCTCAATGCCATCTTTTCTGAAGGAATCAAGAAGCATTTCTCCTTGCTGGGTGTTCCTACAACCTAACATAAATATAGCTGGAGTGTATCATCAGAAACTAACTTATTAATAAATAGCTTGGATATATGATGATTCGTCTGAGATTCTGCTAAGTCTATCATCAATTACCGGTAACACTAAAACGATTCTTACCCACTACTACATGGATATCACATTTCAGAAGCATTCTTATCACTTCCAATCCAATTCCCCTTGTGCCTCCAGTGATAACAGCCACTTTTCCACATTTGATTGGTAGTTCTGAAATATTTCGATGAAATGATTTTGTTATAATTGTTTTCACAGAAGGATTTGTTAGGATTTTTTCCATCGGATACCTATTGATCTACCAGCATATTTGATATTCCATTTGTAGATCATACAAAGAAGTAACTTTCAGACACAAACTGGAAGAAAAAGCCATCTGGAACCAACTACTTTATTATATAAACTTTGAATTACATGAAAGAAAAATTACTTTTGAAACAACTCCTTTTCTATGAACATTGAATTATACAAAAACACGTTTTCTTATTGAGTTTGTACTCCAAACGTTCGTTATGGAATTGAATCAGATATCATTCACAGGACTTGTACACAATATAGTATAAGAAAGAGGTAAAATTTCACTTACATGGAACATTGTCATCCTCAATGGAGCACATTCGATGTTTCGGAATAAGACACTTCGTGCAATAAGGCTAGTGTCTTATTATGGAATAACACACTTGTTGTTTTGAATTATTTTTCTTTCATCTAATTCAATGCTTGTATGAAAGTAGTTGTTTTGAAAGAAAGAGAGAAAGAGTGTGTGTTTATTATCCAAGATACATGACCTTATTGACAAACACTGATAAATAGAGAATATGTAAATAACTACATCCAGATAAATATACAATTACATAATTACATGAAAATAATACATATAAATAATCACATCTAGGTAAAAGTACACATATATTATTACATATAAGCACCGTCAATTTCATATCGTTTCGTCATTAAAATATTCTGTCAGATTGCAATAGGCTTTAGATGTCAGATGAGAGGGCTCTTTCTTCCAGTTTGTGTCTGTAAGTAACTTATTTGTATGATCTACACATCTTCGTATAGAATTAGTTTTTTAAAATTGATTGCTTTCTTCCTTTCTTTGGAAGATTCCCACATTTTTTGTATAAAGATGAAGAAGTAGAAAGCCAAACACTTTCTTTCACATATCATTAAACTTTTTAGAAGACTATACATAGAAGTGAATCACATTTCAATCTGAATCCAGCAATAAATTAATTATATTAATACATAATATATTACTGTATTTGAACATACACCATATTATGTATAATAATAATAGTAAAAAACTTTATTGATTTCAAAGACCCCATAAGACATAACGCAAGTTAAATTTTAAATTGAAATATAAGTTTGATAGTGATATACACTAGATATGCATTGATATTAAAATACACAAAGTACATAACAACGTACACATTCTGTTATGATGGAAATTCCTATGAAAGAGTTCAGTCGATAATAATTATTCAAATGTTTTTTGCAAGTGAATGTAAGATTCTTCATGCTCAAAATTTGCAGGTAAGTTGTTGTTTAATCTTATTCCTTCAGAGAGGACCGTTTAGTGATATATTGAGGTGATTTTTGAGGTGTATATAAATTATGGCCAAACCTTGTTGAGTATTTATGGATGTTATTGTGATAAAGAAGATTATTTCTATTTTTATGTAAATAGCATGAGATTTTGAGTAAATTAAATGCAGTAGTGTGGAAGTAGTTTATTTTATTCATCATTGCACTAAACACTTTTCTTGTAAAATAAATTTTCTGTTTGCTGAAAAAGATCTTCTCCACAACAGTATAACAGAAAAATCTTTTTTCCCAACACTATGATCTTTTTTAGGTCATCCCAACAAAGCCAAGGAAAAAAACAGTCATCTTTAAAAATTGTCAAATCCAATATGACTACTTCACTAACATCTACAGACACTTCAATAAATGGATATTTTCATGAAGAAAAATGATATTTAATTTTGGTACTAGATCTTGCACTTACTCTACTGAGTCCAGCGACCAGAACAATGTAACGCCCATTTGAGAGATTTTTTTTCACTTACTATGGCATTGCAAAAATGTTCAGGCAGTTTATCAAATATAATTCTATTTTTATTGTTTAATGTTTTCTATTTTCAAACAGTATTTCTCCATAGGGCTGTGATAGTTTTGAATTAAAAATTTTTTGACATAAAAAACAGATTCAGCGGTTTGAATTTGTTTCATTTACTTTGTAAAATTATTCTGGGTCTGCAGACTTCAAAAACCATCGACTGAGAATAAATAGTAGTATATACTTACCTATTGCTATAAATGATCACAATAAATCTTCCAATAATGCTTTGACAAATATATTGGTAAGGGGTGGAAACACTGATCTACGTTTTGAATAAATTGAATAGAAAAACTCAATTTCACTATTACCTATTTAAATGAAAAAATCTTCTAGTTCTGACATAGAGTTATCTTTCAGGACGTGAATGAGACTTCAGGTGGGATAAGTATAACCCCAATTTGTAATGTATTCAAATCACTTGCCTGTTTTGTTTTTTCCCCTCATTATTACATCTTGAACTATGGCTCTAGATCCAATGAAATTGTATAAAATTTCATTTTTTGCTTCTGCCAAAATCGTTTTCAGAGATTTCTTTGATCTAGCAATAGAAATAATTGTAATGACAATTATTACTGAACAACCTATTAGGAATATCATTTTGGTAGGCCCCCTTACAAAAGCACATTTACACTCTATCCTTTCAGAAATAATTCGACAAACTGAAAACAAGGACAGTATGCTACAACTTTCTCCAAGCTGTTAGGTCGAAAGTTGAATGTTTGATTTGTAAATTTCATTGCATAACTGTTGAGGAATTTCTTATTTTCCTATTGGTGGGAGAAGTAGCCTTCAAAATTTTAATTTTGAAATCATGGAAAACATAATCACATAGATATTTCAAGTCTTTACTGAGCTTCGAGAAATTTCTTTTCTGAAAAAAACAAGTTTTGATTATCATATAACATCTGCGATATAACCAATATAATCTCTTTTATGCAATTGGGAACTTCATCGTCCCGAATTCCAGATACATCTACCGGACATATTGAAACTAAGCCGGATGGTAAAACAAAAACAAAGTCCCGTCAGCTGTTTTCATAAATTATTGTGGTGTCTTGTGCTTCCCGTGAATGAAAGTAGTTTATTTTTTCTATTGATTAGTTTCTAATGTTTAAAATAAATGTGTATTTTGTTCGCACCACAAAATGGGATTGGTGCGGGGTGACCACATGCGGTAGATTGTAGATTTTCAACACAAATTGAAAAATTGCAGAAGATGAATTTTCGTCGGTAGATTTCAGTAGATTTGGATAAGACGCCTTGGCAATCTGTGCCTTGGCGATAGAATTTTCATTTCGAAGTGAGTGGCGACATCTACAGCAAATTACATGAATTCATTATTTCTAGGATCTGCCCGCTTCGATACAAAGAACATAAAATGGATACAGATCATAAAACATCGATTTCCAGATTGCTTCTGATTGTTTTCTGAAGAAGAATAAGATAACCTCATTTCATTTTTCGTTTTCAGCTCAAAGTCTGAAGTGTGATTCACTCACTGGCACTGGTCCATCCAAATAGTCAAATTTAAATTTCAAACACAGAATCCTACAGATGTTCTGTGTCTAGTCTATGACATTCTGACATCGGCGAAGGCAGTGAACTAAGGTTATGTTTTATGTTGGTTACAGAAAATTTTCGAGAATATAAAGATCGTAGAGAACCCGATTACTTTAAAACAAAACACTACTTTTGAATCTCAATCAAAATTAACCATCAAAACTTCATTTCATCAACTCAATTTCTCCAAATACGAGCTGGAACTATGGTACACATCCATGTGTTCTTGTAGCTAAATTAAACTTTATGCATTCACAATTCACGGCTAAGAACCTGAAAAGATGTTTAGAATTATAAGACTAAGCAAGTATTTTACATGTAGGTCTGTCAAAATACATTCCTGTAGAACTACTGCTAGTGACCCAATTTTGGATAAAATTTGTAAGTGTCCCAGTGTTTGGTAAACTAGATTATAGTTCATAGTCTTATTTTTAGTGTTGAGGCCACATTTGTTTGCCCTGAAGAGTTCTTTCAGCAGTAAACCTAAAGATGGTGAAGGAAAGGTAGGTGGAAAAGAGTCCATTCAAACCCATCCTTGTTCCAACCCATCCCAGCAAGAGAAATCCCAGCCACCAAATTTAAAACTGAAGGAATGTAAACCTGTTGATATAAATCCTACCAGACCTAGTACCAGCCATCAAACGGTAATTTTTATTTATACTAATTCCCATAATATATAAATTGAACAAAATTGAAAATTTTATTCCTCAAACCCACAATTGATTGAAAAAACCTCATTCAGGGGAAGTAACACTATTTTCAGAGATGAATTCTGAAATTTTTAAACTTTTGAAAGTTATCCTTTAGAAAGAAAAAATTGAGCAAGGTATTTCTCAATCAATCATGCCAGAGGATACTTTTAATTGGTTTTGGTTTTTATAACAGAACTTGAGCTGATAATTATTTATTATATTTTTGTAAATGTCAATAGCACATGACTTAACTGAAAGTATTAAGTTATCATCAGTTTCATGTAAATTTTTTTGAAGATATTAAATAACCAGATTTAAAATAGAAAGTAGATATAACTTTTTTTAATCCTTGAATTCTTAAACAGGACACTATTTGCCATCAATGTAGATAAAATCTTGTTTTTTCCCTTTTCTAGCTATGACAAGCATCTCTGAAATTGTGACGTTAGGTATATACTTTCTAGTGAATGGTAAATGTATTGAATTAAAATCTTTGAAATCCATTGAATATCTAGTTATTACACTTGATAACAATATGAAATGGAATGCTCACACCAACAATGTAATGAAAAAGATATTTGGTAAGCAAATTTGAATACTTCAAGAACATTGGAATCAACCACCTGAAACAAATATATCATGCCTTAGCTCAAACTTATCTATTTGGTATAATTGCTTGGGGTGGAAAAGGTAACTATTAATTGAAAAATTAGATAACATGCAAACATGTATTTTCCAAATCGTATTCAATAAATCAAACACTCACCCAAGTAATGACCCATGCAACGAATCTGAACTAATGGATTAATCGAAAATAGTGAATAAGGCAAAATTTGCATATCCTAATTTTCACATCAAGTTTAAATTTAATTCGAATAGTATTATGTAAATGATATAGAAGTAGTTACTGGAGGTCATTAAACCGCTTATGCAGATGACTTTTCAATAGTTACATCTGCACCACTTACAAAAATATCAGAACATAATTCTGCTAGAATAGTGAACCGGATATCAAATTACTTCAATAATAACAATGTATACTTCAATACTAATGAAACACAATCGGCAAAACAGAGTGGAAAACATATTTCATGGTTGATCTCAATAAATACTCATTACAATGTAAGGTTCTTGGGAATCATTCTTGAAGAGTTCCTCAATTGAAAATCCCACTGTCAACACTTAACCTCCAAATTTGACTCGTTTAAGTTTGTCTTCATTAACTTACGAAAGTTTTAATAGTCAGGTGCTCAATATATATTTTGCTCAAGCAAAAACACGACTTGGGTATGGTGTCTGTTTTTGGGGTGGATATATCTCGGTAGGAAATATGTTCATAGCAAAAGCATATTCTGAGGTGCATAGCAACTTGTTTGGGCATATAATCATTTGAGGAACTTTAATTAATTAGCATTATACATTGGTTTATATTCTTCAACTGTGTGTGTTTGTGTTGAAAAAAATGTGAAATTTCACCAATATGATACTATAACCAAGAACCATTTTCATTTATCCTTAACTAGATTCAGAGTAACTTCATGTGAACCGGAATAGATTGGTTCAAAGATATATAACCACCTTTTAGGTCATTTGAAGGCCTTGAATATGATTCATTGGAAAAATGTTTTATACATTTTTGGAGTTCTTCGAATAACTCATATTCATTTTAGTTTTACATTATGAGCTTTTCTTCCTTGTTCCTTTTTTTTTTTAAATTGTATTTCGAATTTTTAAACACTTTTTATGTCTGACTGGAAATAATAATTATTATTATCAGTATTCCAAAAATATCTAAAACCAATGGACAACACAAACTTCGCTGCCAAAATGTATGGTGCTATATCTAGCTATTTCAAACTCACAATTTTCAGTTTTCTTTCTTAATCTAAAATGAAAAATGATCATCAGAAAATGCGTGAGTTGAAATATTCAAATTGTTTGATATGAAAACAATTATATCAATCCTACTGTTTCAGTTTACTGTTTTTGTTTTAGGTCTGCAGTTTCTTACATTATGTCTTAAAAGTTTGTAACGCTGATAAAAAAAATTTTATAACATAAGACAGCTCGTAAAAAGAGGGTTTTATTTCTCGCCTATTTCACTAATCAGATAAATGAAGTTTTAATTGAATATTCAATAATTCTTTTTTATGTTGAAATATCTTATATATTACAGAAAATTATCCACATTTCTTCGGTTATCACTCTTAACTACAATTATTTAGAATAAAACAGGATTACTTTGGTGTAAATTCCTGGTTTAGGAGTAGTGGATGGAGCATTTTTATTCGCTATGTATTAAAAAATAATAATTATTGTTAAAGTAATAATTGAAATATTTAGTTTTTAATTAACCAATAATTATTTTATTGTGCGGTTTATCTATATACTATATACCTTTGTTTGTAGTTTTTGAAAGTATGTACACTGTCATCATTTTTTCATAGCGAATTCCATCTATTCAAGATTGTAAATCTCCTGATTTAATGAGTCAGTATCCAGATAGAAAATGTGGATGGGAAGAACAAGATCAACACTATCGAAACAAAAACAAAAAATTACTTCTGTTCGGTTTATTATTTACAGCAGTTACACTAGGGACTGTGAGTATGATTTGGACTGTTTGAAAAAATACATTGTTGATTTCTGTGTTGATTTGATTGTAGCTGTGGTGGATAGGCCTCTTGGAGCACAAAGAAAAAGATAAACCAGTAGTAAAGAAACAAACAACAGATCAAATTAGTAAGTTGTCATTACTATTTTGTCTGTTTCATAATTTGCAGTATTGTGGTTTAATTTATTTTGTACTTTTATGATATATGAAATATTTCTAAGTTAGTTGATCGTTTTGATCTAATTTTTCAGAGAAAGTTAAAAAAAAGAGAACGGTTGTGAAAATCCCAGCCACATCGAAGGATATTCCAAAAGAAGTTCCTTACCTGCTGATTGGAGGAGGAACTGCCTCGTTTTCCGCATTCCGTGCCATCAAATCTGCTGAACCAACAGCTAAAGTAATGGAATGAAATTTGTTTCTGGATAATACTGAAAATCATTTACATCGGTTATATGAGGTCTGTTCAAAAAAACAAGGTGGATTATTTCTGTTGTTACAATCGTTTCGAACATATGTTCACAATTTCATCTGTTTAGCATGTTTAGTTTGTTGGTGAGAGGCATGAAAGTTAGAAGTGGCTTAGAACACTTGAAATGTTGCCAGTGGCATACGCTGATTGTACTCTGAGTCAGAAAAATGTTTACCAGTGGTAGTTTCATAGTAGGTAGAGAATATGTGAATGACGCCGCTCACCCTGGACGTCCCAGCACTTCAAAAACTGATGAAAATATTGAGAAAGTGAAGAAAGTTGTCATGGAGAATCATTGAATCACTATAAGAGTCTGCTGAGGATGTCGGCATACGTCAACAGCGATCCAAATTTGCTTGAAAGGGTCATAACTGGTGATGAATCATGGGTATATGGTTATGACATCGAAACCAAAGTCTAATCATCCCAATGGAAGAGCCCAGGAGAGCCAACACCAAAAGAAACATGCCAACTTTGATCACTGGTTACTGTTTTTTTCGATAAATGTGCCTCAGCCACCGCATTCCCAAGATTTAGTCCCCTGCAACTTCTTCCTGTTCCCAAGATTGAAGAGACCCATGAGAGGACGGCGACGATTGAGGAGATTGAAAAATGACAATTCACCTTATTTTTTGAACAGGCAGCGTATAGTGAACATATAAATGATTCCTCAATTTGACAAGTTTTGACACTAAGTCATGTAAAAACCAAGGAGTCATACCTCATTTGAAATTAACTTCATTTATATTTTTCATCAGCACTTTCCTAATCCCATCAACAATTTCCAAATTATGAAATGGCGTTTCCAAATTATGAAATTTTGTAATCTTTGTTTTACTGTAGTCAATGTACACTATTTATTATTGCATTGATTTTCTATCTTCTATTCGTTTTTTAAGTTTTTTTGTATTGTGACCAAAATTATCGTAAGATTTATCATTATCAAAATAGTTTTTGGCACAAAAATAATCTAAAAAAGAGCATATCACAAACGTCACATGTATTTCAGTAATTTCTCTTTTTTTGTCTTCTAAAAATACCATTGTGGTCATAAAACCTAATTAATTTTCTAGGTGTTGGTAGTGAGTAATGAACCATTTTATCCTTATATGCGCCCTCCTCTGTCAAAAGAAATCTGGTTCAATGATGATAAGGAATCTGTAAAAAAGTTCATTTTCAAGCAGTGGAATGGGTCTGAGAGAAGGTAAGATCTTGAATAAATTTTTCTACCTTTGCATAATTAATTCTGGTGAATAATAAAAACACCATGGAGAATTCTGAAAAGTTGTTCATTTCTTTCATGAGATTTTTCCAACATCTCATTTTTATGAGACATGACATGAAAAGTTTAGTTGAGAGTTGTTGGTAGAAATCGATCATTCGTGACACATTTTTTTCTTTTCCCACAGTAAATTCTCTGATTATCTGAGCTTAAACCTGGGCCGAAAATTCCCGGGCCTAAGAAAGAAAACGCGTTTTTTTTGTTCAAAATTGGCTTCATTCATCAACGTATTCTTCTATTTTATATAAATAATTTTGTGTATATCATTTTATTCATGTCATTTTATATATTTTTTGTTACACATGTACGTGAAATATGGTATGTTCTAATCTATTTGTCTCAGTTTATATTTTTGTTGGTTTTCTTTATTTTACTCACTTTATGTTATACATTTATATTATTAGCTCTACTTGATTTATTCCATATTCCAACTATTCTGTTAGTTGTATATTTTTTTACTCATTACTTTATTGTATTGTTTATATTTGCTGCAATTATGGAGCTTAAATGTCCACTTTTATTTGTGCAACTAAATGACTGGGAAACCCATACACAACCTACGAGTCCTTAATGTGTGCCACTGATTCGTTTGGTTACATTTTATGAAAAGGTTTATCGTACATACATAGACTCATGTAACTAATTTTGTTCATTTGCAAACATGTGACATGTGATTAATTGAAAACGTTCAAAACAAAAAACAAATTCCTTTCGTTCACCATTTTCCAACGGTTGAAGCTAGTTCATCATAGACGGTAGGTAATTGGTGAATCCAGCTGCTGGATGGAATTAAAAAAATTCAAAGGGCATTGTAGTGTGGTATTTTTTTCATTTTCAATGTTACTTCAATGCTTGCGCCATCTATCAACATGTGCTTGTGACTGTTTGGAACCTTTGCTGTAGTAATGAATGTTACTGGATTTTTTTTCCAACACCAAACCGTTATTTTAACACCTCGACACGTGTTTCGATCACCAAGTGATCATCTTCAAGAGGGAGATTATACTTGTGTTGTTTTGGTGTTGGGAAAAAACTCCAGTAATATTAATTTTATCAACATGTGCACAAAATTCGATTATTCCCTTCAACCACTTCGAGAGCTATGACAAAACAGTGTTTCTATGCATCTAGCTCTCGACTTTACCTGAAAATGTAGGTTATTTTAATATATTCACATTGTTGAAAAAGAAAACGATAATATAATCTCAAAAAATTTTTGAAAATTATAATTGCCATTCAAAAATATTCATGTTGACAGTGCTTTTCATGAGCATTGAATTATGGTCATTCTAATCGGTTAAACAAGTCTAGTGCATTTAATTGCTGTTAAACTCTGTATAAGCTGCTTAGCTTTCAACTTTTTCATTGATTTAATAAATAATAAGAGAGAGAGAGAGAGAGAAATACGTTTATTGTCCTAAGAAAGAATTCTTGTTGACAAACGATTATGAACTATGTCAAAGTAGTATAAAAGTAATTCTTAAAGCCCATTTACATAAAATAGGGTGTCAAATACATTTTTACAAAACAAAATAAATGCTATACAATTTAAAATTCAAAAAATTTCCTTAAAAAAATATGCTATATTATAGCGACATACAGTAGTAAACTATAATTCATAAAAAGCGTTGTCATTGTAAAATTCATCTAAACTATCAATCAGAATGTCGCTTAATTTTTTCCTGAAAATATTCAAACAATAACTCATCAGGCATATGGGAATTTTGTGGTACATCTTTATTCCATTGTATATCAATGAGTCCTTCACCATTGTTGTTGTGGGCAGGGAAAGTCTGATCAAGTTAGCTTGGATATATTTTTATGAATCAGACTTACTGTTTCAAGAATGAATAGAGATATTATTGTCAGAATTCGTTGTTCAATGAATAATGGTTTGCAGTGATCTTGGAACTTTGCCCCGCACACATACCGGACAGCTCGCTTCTGTAAAACGAAAACAGTCTGCAGCATGCTTTTGCTGCATACTCCCCAGAAGGCAATACCATATCTTATATGAGCATCCACAAAGGCAAAGTACGCAGATCTTGCAAAGGTTCTACCCAGTTCCTTCGAAACTGACTTCACTACAAAGCAGCCAGATGCAAGTTTTTTATTCAACTTGATGATATGATCCTCAAATTTAAGCTTATTATCAATGTGAAGTCCTAAGAATTTGGAGGACAATTTCATCTCGAGAATGTTGTTATTCAAACTAAAAGGTGGGAGTTCACATTTGAAGGTGAGGAGATGGGTTTCATCAAAGTTTAAAGAAAGCTTATTTGAGTCGCACAAGCTCTTAATTTTTTCCATGTCTACAGAGGCATCTTGAGCTAGTTTTGTAGGATCTTTCCCCTGCCACAGCAACGTTGTGTCGTCTGTAAATAATGTGATGCTAGCAGATAGATCCAGTTGTGTTATATCATTAATATACAATAGAAACAAGATGGGATAATTTTAGTTTACTGATCAAAATTACAATTTTGCTCAACTGTCTAATTGGTTTAATATTTAGTATAATAATCAAACAAAATGTGGGACTGAAATTTCTTCGTTTGAAATATTTTTTTTTATAGTTTGTTCTACGAACCTGATGATTTTTACTTAGATTGCAAAGATCTCATGAATAGTAAAAATGGAGGTGTTTCTGTAGCTCGAGGTTGGAAAATAACCCATCTGGACGTTATGGAAAAAATGGCCTATTTAGATGATGGAACTGCAATACACTATGACAAGTGTCTTCTAGCTACTGGTAAGTTAAAGGCAATTTTTTTCTTCAATATTTGGTAGTCGCTCTGCTCTTAACCTAGAGATCATGAGTTAGAATCCATTGTTGCCCTGATATTTTTCTCGACAAAATGTATCTTCTATATTACATGGCGGGAAGGACTGCAAAATGTTATGATACTTTCTAGGTGACTCAGGAGTAATTTGCCATTATTGAATTTGTTTATTTCCAGGTAAGAAAAGTTAAGTAGAATTACAGTACTTTCGGAAATATAATTTATTCATATAGTTAATGATTTTATACCTGACCTTCTCGGGTAGATTCATTCATTAGAAGGTAGGCATACAAGTAGGTAATATGTTAAGAGTATAAAAAATATAGTTTTAAAAACTAAAAAACACGCTTTTAAAGAACATCGAACTGAAAAGTTGAAAATATTTTTTTTAAATAAGCTTAAAACAATAACCAACGAAAAATAGTAGTATTATTGTAAAAAAAGCGACGGGCGCT